GAATGTGAAATTCTCTTCAGAGAAACTGAGTGTGTAACACTTAGAATTTGTGGCAAAGGCCACGCGTGAATTTTGTATATGCGAGGCAGTGCATGTACCATTCGTTTGTGAGTTGAGTGGTCTCCATGACCCTAGGATCTTATGTTGATTATTGATATGCTTCTTAAGTAGTTCGCATATTGACATCATGGATAGTGTTAAGCATGAAATGGGTACGATAGATTGTTGTAATGTATCAATGTCATTTCACCTGTAATTGAGTTTCGATTTTGCAGATGCCATGGAGATTGAGGTATATTGTGTTTATAGTATTCGAACTATTATGTTATTAAGATTTAAAATTTTGCAGGTGTACGTGAACTAAGGTACGTTACTATGTGAATTAGCATGTTAACTAACATGTATGGGTTGAAATGAACTTGATTATGAATTCTCATTGTGAAATGAATATGAAATTATTTGGAAAATAATGATTTATCGAATATTAAGACTAGTCGGTGTTAGAGTCTTGGAATAGGACCAAACTCACTCGAGTTTTGTGTGGATTTTAGAGTTTTGGGGTTATGACACCTCTATTGAGAGAGTGACTGGTGATCCCAGAGAATTGAATGACGTTTATGATGTCATTGTAAAACTTCGAGTTTTGTCGGTGACCTCTTTGTTGGGGGTGCTATTCTCGAGATGGAGACTATGAGAGTCAAGAATGAGCTCACGGAGAATATCCAAGAGGAGCAAGTGCAGAGAGAATGCCTGGACTACGTGAAGCACCAGGACGGTGTGTCTTGAAATGAGGATGGACTTCTGTTGTTTCAGAAGCGGATTGTTGGTTCCTCGAGGTCCTTTGACCGAAGAGGTTATGGAAGAGGCCCATAAGGGCCAGTTCACTGTCCACCCTGGTGCGACAAAGATGTATTAAGACCTGAAGAAGAACTTCTGGTGGCCGGGTATGAAAGAGGACATAGCTGTGTATGTGTCCAAGTGTTTGCTTTTCCAGAAGGTGAAGATAGAACACCATAAGCCGTATGGTAAGCTTCAACCTCTTTAGATTCCGAAATGGAAATGGGAGAGCATTTCCATGAACTTTGTTGTGGGTTTGCCTAAGACTCAGGCTGGCTGTGACTCTTTTGGGTCATTGTGGACATATTGTCAAAGTCTGCCCACTTTTTTCTAGTAAGGGTGAGCTTTTCTTCAGAGCAGTTGGCCTAACTGTGTGTTCGCGAGATCGTGAGGCTTTACGGGGTGCCCGAGGGTATCTTCTGCGATAGGGACCCGAAGTCACATCTCGGTTCTGGGAGGCACTGCAGAGAGCTTTTGGAACTCAGTTGAGACTGAGTACAGCCTATCACCCTCAGACTGTTGGACAGACTGAGCGGACCATCCAGATCTTGGAGAACATGCTGAGAGTTTGCACTTTGGGGCAAGGCTCAGCATGGGATGGGTACCTGGCATCAGTTGAGTTTTTATGCTTTTGTGTTTTTCCTTGCTAGCCTGGGCATGGAACCCTGCGAGGCGCTTTTTGGTAGGAGGTGTAGAACTCCTACCTGTTGGTCTGAGGTTAGAGACAAGGAGCTTTTTGGCTTAGACTGTCCAAGATACCACCCAGCAGATCCAGATGATCAGAGAAAAGTTGAAGCAGGCGCAGAATCGCCAGAAGAGCTACTATGATGTCAAGCATCGTCCACTGGAGTTCAGTGAGGGTGAGCACGTGTTTGTGAGACTTTCACCTGTCATGGGTGTTGGACGGGCACTCGGAGTGAGGAAGTGAGCCCGCGATATATTGGGCCATACCAGATCCTTGGTAGAGTAGGACTGTTGCCTACCGGCTTGCCTTGCCTCCGAACTTGGCCAACATCCACGACGTGTTTCACGTGTCTCATCTTCGGAAGTACTTAGCAGATCCTTCGCACGTGGTGCAACCTGATGATGTGGAGGTTCGAGAGAACCTAAGGACTCCTGTCGGACCACTCAAGATTCTCGATCGTGGCGAGAAGCAGCTGAGGAGCAAGATCATTCCAATGGTCAAAGTGCAGTTGACAGGAAGAACTCCTGAGGAGTGTACTTGGGAGCGAGAGGACGAGCTCCTCCAGCAGTACCTCGAGTGTCGGGACAGGTATGTTTCTGATTTTGAGGACAAAATCTTAAAAAGGTGGGGTGAATGTAAGAATCTGCACCGTTAATTAAGGAAATTAATTAATTAATTATGTGAAATTAGGAAATAATTCCATAATTGACCCTTATAATTAACATGAGGCTTAAATAAATGTAGAAAGTGGTTCATAATGCTGAAAGTCGCTTTTCTGACGAAAGTGAAGATACCGGTTCTGCTAGTCGGTATAAATGCGTACCGAAAAAGTATCCCGGAAAATTATAATAAGTGCATGATAATTCTTGTAAAATTGAGTAGGTTAAGAATCCTGAGTTTGAGATTAATATGCTAAGCGTAGCAATTAAAGTTAATACTGTGTGTTTATTTCCTAAGGCTGTATATACTTAGTGGCACATGATCCTAGGGCATATTTGTGCCTTCTACGTGAACCTTGCTAAAGCCTTGTGACCAGCCACCTTGCTACTCCTCTTCTTCTCCATTTTCTCACCAAAGACACCACATTTGATCATTGTTTCTCTTCTTGATCAAGTAAACACTTGAGTGTGAGCATGAGAGAGTGCTAAGGGTGCCTTTTTTGAGTTGTGAGGGCTGCCTTGTGAGGTGTTGAGGGGCTGAGTTCTTGGGTTGGGTTGTGAGGGTTGTCTTCTTGGCTTGTGGAGCTTCAAGAAGCCTTCTTTGTGAAGAAAAGGCATAACTTGGTTGTGTTTTTCGTTTTTAGCAAAGTCAGAACTGTGAGGAGCCATTGGTGAGCTCCAAGAGCACTCTTTTCCTCTGTTTTAGCCTTGGGGTGAGTTGCCTAACCTTGATCATGAATTTTAATAAGTTAAAGTTGATGTCTTGACTTGTTTCTTGAGTTAAACAAGTAACCCACTGGTTTGTGGACCTAAAACAGAATTAAAATGCATGCTTTGACTTTTTGAAGTGTTAAAAATGGAACCTTTGAAGGATATCTTCACGAAATGCAGAACTGCATTTTGTCGTGAAATATCCGGATATTGGTATGCGGATATGATATCCGGATATTGATATCCGGATATGGGGTCTTTTGATATCCGAATATGGATATCCGGATATTGATATCCGGATATGTCCCCGACAAATATCTGGATATTCTGGGTTTGCGAGGAACAGTAGCTTACTGTTCATCCAGAACTGATGTTTGGGGTTTGCGGACCCTAGTTTGAGGAAGTTGAACTTCTGTAATAATTGAACTAAGTCAGAATTAAGTGATTAAGGGCTCGTGGCTTGTGTGAAGCCTTAAGACGTAAAACGTAAGAAAAGGCGTTGTCTTTATGTTGTATGCTTGCAGAGTATGATTGTTGATATACTATTGGTCCATAACAGATTGTGATTTTCCTGTGTTTGGACTTTGAGCAGTGGACTCTTGGCTTGGATTGTTAGCTTGCAAGCCTCGGTTTAGCCATTATTGGTTCCACCATGTCCCATGGGGGGATGGTTATATGCATGATGTTGTTTTCATGATATACTGATTGGTTGAAATGCTATTGAGTTGTTATATGCTAGTGCCTTTATGATATGCATGTGGTGTTCCACCTATACAGTAAGCCTGAGTATGTGGTACATACAAGATGGTGAGGCTGTGGGTGAGGTGCAAGCGATTTTCCTTGTACTAACTGTAGGTAATAGACGTATTCCTGCATTTCTCTAGCCAGTAGAATAGTTTAAACACACATGGCATGAATATCTGTTGCACTGCATAGATTTGAGAACTTATATTGAATTACTGCTTTTTGAACTTATATTGCACATGTAAGTGAGCTTGGGGTGGAAGATCCTTGAGGACCTCTTGTCTTACTGAGATTTCTTGTTTAGAGATCTTACCCCACGTTTGGGGGCGCTTATTTCAGGTTCAGGTAGTATGGAGGCTGATGCCTCTGGCGGCAGGAGGCCAGAGCTCAGTTGATGATATTGTTGTTTATTATGCTGACATGTTGGATGCTGGATATTCTACTGATGTTATGTTTTTAGTTGCTTTCATTATGTTGTTTATGTTGAGACTTCTGTTGGGGCTTGTGCCTTATTTGGGTGAGCATGGAGTTTGTCCATGCCACTTTATGTTAGTACCTTGAGTTGAGTTGTATAACTTAGTAGGTTGTCCGGTCTACGTGTAGTAGTTCCGTGATTAGAGACTTATATCTGTTATTTTAATTAATGAGGTATTTCAGTTAGTTGTCTTTTGCAATTTACATACATGCATGGTTTTATTTAATTGATTAATTAAGCAAGTTGGTAATGATAATGATGTCATAATTGAAAAGAAAAAGATATTCCGCATTTTTAATTAAGCGCCGCTTAATACGATGATATGATAAATTACCAGATATATACAGGGTGTTACAGTGGTCATTTGTAGAATAAGTGGGTTAGCGAAGTCAAGAAACTTTTGCAGAGGAAGATCCTAGCATCTAGTCACCCTTTCTTCTGACTTTGTGATAGCCCAACAAAGTACGCACAATCGTAACTTTGATTTCATATTGTTTCGGTATTTTATAATCATGTACATGATCTAGGAATTATAAATCTATCAAGAGGTGGTAAGAAAAAATAGTGGTAAGTATAACCACCCTTTTATCACACACATGAAACATTTTTTACAAGAAATATTGCAAATGGAAAATAATTAAAATATAAAATAAAATAATAATAATGAAAAAAGTAGAAAAAATATTGCGAATGGAGAAGCTTGGAAGACCAACCTAAAACAGCTCCAACGATTGAATACAATAGGAAGGAAACTTCAAGAAATAAAATTGTTACATTTATTGTTCATAATTATCACGCCATTACTGAAGAAAATATATCTCAAATCAAAACATAAAAACAACACGTCACTTTTTACGGGCGAAGACGAATATAATCTTTCTCATTAATATTATGCTTGGATGGGAATGACTTTGAGAGGTTGAGCCTTATGCAAGACAATCCCATATTTCTCAGACATATCCATGTCCACTTCCTTTAGCCCATCAGCGAGCTTCCAATCATAGCTATTTATAAGAGAAGCCAACACAAAGTGCATAGTCCTAGAAGCCAATGACAATCCAGGACATATCCTTCTTCCAGCTCCAAATGGAATCAACTCAAAATTATTGCCTTTGTAATCAATGTTATTCTCCAAGAATCTTTCAGGGATAAATTCATTTGGGTTTGTCCAAATACTTGAATCTCTCCCCATGCCCCATACATTAACCAGAATTTGTGCACCTTTAGGCACCGTGTAGCCACATAGTTCAGCATCAACTTCTGGCGTTTGTGGCACCAAAAATGGGGTGGGTGGATGCAAACGGAGAGTTTCCTTCACCACTGCTTGTAGGAAAGGAAGCTTTGAGATATGTGATTCTTCAAGTTGTTCACCTTTGACAAGTACCTCTTGAAGCTCTTTTCTAACTTTTTCTAGTTTTTCTCGGTTACGTACCAGCTCCGTCATCGCCCATTCTATTGTGGTTGATGTTGTGTCTATTCCAGCTATAAATAATGCCTGATATGATTAATTAATAAAATCATATAAGTCGAAATCTATACGATTTACTCAAAAATTAAATAAGAAGTTTCTGTTCCTTTTAAAAAAAAACATAATAAATGACGTTTGCATTTCATCATCCAAATAATCAAGTGGAATAATATGTAGACTAGACGGCGGTAGTAAAATTAAGGGATTTTGTATAAAAAAAAAAGAAGTAAAATAAGGGATTTGAATTTTGAGGGATTAAATCGTCAAAATAAATATTCAAGAGATTATATATTGATAAAGAGAGGGAGAAAAAGGTGAAGGACTGATGTGGGCAACCCTAGCCTGTTACTCTTCATGCATGGTTCCCCAAATCATCTTTTATATTTTCATGCTAAGGTGATGGCAACGGGTAATCATGCACCATTGGCATATTATTAATACCACCTTGAATTATATTTCACAATAAACGAGATTTGTAGTTTTATCAATTTATGTGCATATATTTGCTTTATATAAAGTTATATTTCTTTCTCATGAGGTAAGTTATGACATTGAATTTTGGTGTGAAGAGAGACTCAAGATACTCACCAGAAATAAATGCAGCACATGATGGCGGCTCATTTGCGAATTATCTTCTAGCATGAGTTCAAGCACAGAATCTAACACGTCATTGCATGCCTTGGATTCATTCTCTAAAGCTCTTAAGCGCAATCTTTCTTCTATAAGACCATCAAAAAACGAAATTAACTTCCAAAAATAACAATTCATTCTTGCACGCACACCTTGTGGATCAAGCACGCGAAAGATAGGGTAAAAGTCCACAACATTAGGCCTTCCAAGTTCTTCCGCGATACTGAAAATAATGTCCTTGAACTCTTGAGACTCATCAGAAGTGTAATGACCCAAATCCATAGAGAATAGAATGCTTGATATGGTATTAAGCATAGTTATAAAGCTAGCCTCACCAATATCCAAAGCTTCACATTTCTTGCACTTTTCCTTGACATAATCCATTAATTCTTGCACCTTCCTTTGACGTAGAGCTTGTGTAGAATCAAGCTTCATGCAAGAGAACACATTGGTAGCACAAACTTTCCTTAGGGTTCTCCATTGAGCTGAAGAAGGCATCCATATTACTGAAAATTTGTGATGGTCAAGTGCTCGGAAAGCATCTGGGATAATCTTGTTAGGGAAGATATTATCTTTTGTATGCAATACTTCTTTTGCTATTTGGGGAGAGGAAATAACTATGGTGGTTTTGTTGCCTAACTTGAGACTCATTATGGGTCCATAGGTTTGAGAAAGCTTAGCAAGTGAAAGGTGAGGCTTGGTGCCAAGTTCCAAGATGTTTCCAATGATAGGAAAAGGGCGAGGCCCTGGGGCATGTTTGCGAAATTTGGTGCTTTTTCTGCCTAAGCAGAAGAAGAGGGCATGACTGCTTGCCAACACCACAAAGGAAATTAAGACAAGTGTAAGGTTGTCCATGGTTCTGTTGCATTCATGTCTTTCCTTCTCCAACTAGTTTCTTTTATATAGAGAAAATGTATTTCCAGTTAAAGGTTACCGAATATGGCCTGCAAAACCTTTTCTTTTTTAATAATTATTTTTTTGGGATAAGATAAGTTGTCTTATTAATTTGATTGTCTCATTCTAAAATTGGGACGTATGCGTTGGTTTTTTTTTGTTTTTTGTTCAACCCAGCTTAATTAGGACTGAACATACTCATAATTATAACTAAGCTAGAGCTTCACAATGCATAAATATTAATGTTTTCTTTAATTTTAGTTTTTAACATTATTTTTTTTGAGTTAACAATATAATGTTCATTTTAAGATGTAAGGGGCGGATCATAAGTTTAGGTCATGACTTAATTTTAACCGTTAATTTTTGTTATATTTAACGAATCTAATCTGTGATGTGAGTCGTTGAATACAAAATGTATCAATTACTAAGATTAGACGTAAGATTTCTTATTTTTTTACTGACATGAATTAATCTCGCCACTTATAAGCTTGTATATATTACTATATATGTGATATGTATAGCTAGATAAGTAGCAATGTAACATGATAGGATTATGTTATGTTATTTTGTGTTTGGGTGAATAAGATAGTGTCAAGATATGATATTAATAGACAAAAATATCCTTTATAACAAAATTTCACATAATTTCTTTTGTAAATTAATGTTTATATATTTTTTCTTTCGACTTATAACTTATACATTAGTTCCTAGTTTAATTTTTTTAAAATAAAAAATTAAAATTAAAATTTTAAATAAAATATATTACAATCATAAAAAAACTTACAAAATCTTCAAACTAAAAATTATATATTTTCCAAATAAATTTTTAAAATTAAGTTTTGAATTGATTGTTTATACAATAAAAACAATTTGAATAACATTAACACGAAAAAAACAACTCACATATGCAACATTCATTGCTTGAATTAATTTATCTATTGGATCGAAATCATCATTAACCACATTAAGCACAATGTGCATAATATTTGAATAGGGTTAAAGATGTATTACTTGGTGAAAGTTAAATTATTTTTCCAAAGGCGCACGTCATGCGGGCAATAGCAGTGGCAGTGAAAAGCCGATGACAGGGATTTCCTTCCTAGGGAAAATCCAAGGAAAATAACAAAGGGCTAAGCTCGAAATAAGAGGGGTGGAATGTTTCTTATGCTATACTGTTCATTTCTAACCCAAATCCTTTTTAAGGATAGCTTATCAAGCTATGAGCCTATGAGTAGGATAAAATTAGTTAATAAAATCAAATTATCGTATCATAATGACTTATCAACCAATGAATAAGAATAATAATATACTTAGATTACCAAAAAAAGAAGAAGAAGAAGAATATACTCTTATTTGCGATGAGCATAATTTTCGGTAGGCAGGTGTTGTATAACGCTGTTAGGACGAGCTGCGATTAATGGTAGAAATTTAATTAGAAGGAACTTTATCAGGGGAAGTGATATACTCCTAACAATACTCATTACCGATTTAGCACTTGCGGCTAAGTAATGGCTCAACTACCCTTATACTGTTAATACGAAAATTGCGTTTAAGTAAAAATTATTGAAGTATTCTTTTCAAATCATGCTAGGGAACTTCGAGAAGACAATGAATTAGAATAAAGTGTTGTAAAGGATTTTAATTTTACTGTCATAAGTAATTATGAAGTTCAAATTTAATAAAAAAATTCTTGTAATGTTTATTCTCCGAGAAAATATTTTTTCCATAAATGATATTTTATGGTCATAAGTAATACGAAAAATTCTTGTAATCATAATCATATGTACTTCGTGTTTTGGGCTTTTTCACCCTTTTGCCCCTTATTAATTAATTAATAACCATTTTGCCCATGATTCGAAACTATCTATCAATCTGCCCCTCTTTAATCGACTACCTTGCATTTTTAATCGACTAAACGGTTGTTGGGAGATTTAATCGACTAAATCTCTCTACTTAATCGATTAAAATCATACTGACTTATTTTTTTTTTGTAAAATATGAAGATTTAGTCGACTAAATAGGGAGATTTAGTCGACTAAATAGGGAGATTTAGTCGACTAAATCTCCCAGCAGCCATTTTTTGTCTGTTTTGGTCATTTAGTCGATTAAAAATGCAAGGTAGTCGACTAAAGAGGGGCAGATTGATAAATAGTTTCGAATCAGGGGCAAAATGGTTATTAATTAATTAATAAGGGGTAAAAAGGTGAAAAAGCCTCGTGTTTTGTCCATAAAACATTTTCTCCGAGAAAATATTTTTTCTACTAGTGACTCATGCCATAAGTGGGGTCAACAAAATAGTAAAGAGAAAAAAAGCTATGTGAGACCCACTTATGCTATGAGTCATTAGTAGGAGAAAACGATTACCCATTACAAATTTATATGTATCAAATAAATGGTTTTATCCCTTGAATATTTTATTATGATTAGTATTTTTCATGTTGTATGAGATAATTTTATCTTCCGTATACACATAAAAATGTATGTGGCCCATATTTTTTTTTCTCTCACTTTCACATAGTCCAACATGACCCTCACACACTTTTATGTGTTTAAGAGAATAAATTATCTTCTACAATATGAAAAATATTAATTTCTTTTTATTAATACAAATTATATTATTAAAGAAGTCAATGTCCTTAATTAGTAATGATAAAATTTCAGGCCTTTAATAAATTTATAATTAAAATATTTGTTCGTTAATTACTACTTCACATAATTGAAGCATTAGTTCATTATACAAGTGCTGATAAATGATGCCGGCTCAATTGCGAATTGTCTAATTCAAGCATGATCAGCTTCAGCACAAGACTAACTCATCATTGCACGTCTTTGGTTCCATTTGTTGAGTGCAATATTTGCCATATAATATATGAAGATGGTAATATTTGTAACGTCATATAATATATTAAAGGCGTGCTGGATGTATGTAAGGGTGAGTGAAGCGTGGAAAGAGAAGATGAGGAAACTGGTGATATTTGGAAAAGAAAGGGAAACAACGTGACTTGGTATATATATGTGTGTGTGTGTACGTGTGTGTGTGTGTGTTAGTCAACGGGAGAAAACTCATTTAGATTATAGTGTTACTGGGTGGCAGAAATGTTATATATATGACGATGAAACTGGAACATCAACTGCATATGAGAGTCGCATGCAGCATGCAGCATGCATTAGTCTCAGCATTTGAGCAATTCAGATTGTTGATCCATGCATCTGGCTTAATATGCACGCGCGCTAAATATAGCTTTAGAATCTAGCTACAACCGACTAGTAATCATATATGGCAAAATGAATTCTTATGTTGCAGTAAATTGTTAATCTCATGTCACTCTCAATTCGTAAAACGTGCCTAATTTTTTTTTTTTTTTTTCAAAACAACTAGTGGGACCCAGCTTGCTTTTATGTGCAGGAAAATTGGGTGATCTCCAGCTACAGTAGAAATACAAAGCCCAATTTACAAAAAAAAAAAAAAAAAATACAAAGCCCATCATGTATTATGTTGCGATTACCAAAATATAAAAATAAAAACAATAAAACATTGTGATATATAACCTAATGTAATAGAGATACATATTCCCTTACTAATATCTTATGTGATCTAGATTTAATTTTCACGAAATATAGTTTTGTGGAGAGGTGAGGAAATTCAATTGTGATTAAGTCCCGACTAGAAATTAGTTTCATAGCCAATTCAAAAAACTGAAACTGGTGGGGATACGAAACTAACTCATTTCAAAAAGATAATTAGGGTCGTTATACAAAATAAAAAAAGAGTAAAGTCATTTTTGGTCCTTAACAAAAAACTTAGTCCTCACTTTAATTCCTTACAAAAAAAACTAGTCTGATACCTACAAAATTCAAAGTGTACTCATTTTAGTCCTTTTGAGAGACTAATATGAGTCTTTTTTATGAATACCTGCTTAATTATTGTCCGTTTAATGTATATCTGTAATACCTGCTTAATTCCATCACAACTATATAGTAAGTATTATAAGAGTGGATTTACTTGCCCACCATATTCCTGGGAATTATGATTCGAGGAACAAAAAAATTTCTCCTCTACCAAACATCTCATTAAAGAAAATTAATGATGATAGCTTATGAACACGTAATAGAAAACTTAATCCAATATCAGTTTAATATATAACAACATTGCAAAACCAGATTTGACAAGTTTGATATTCAAGTATTTGCAAAACCAAATTTTTAAGTCACAATTTTTTTTCTAAAATTGGAGAAATTTTGTTGTATCATTAGAAACCTTTGCAAAATTTGGGGAACAAAATGATACATAAGGCAGCTAAAGTATTTTTATTAGAAGGTAAAATAAACACATTAATTAAGTTTCTAATTAAGAATGGACTTTTGGATAGAAAAAAGCATAGGAAGTGATAAAAAAAAATATAGGTGAGTAAGTGACTTAGAGGGAAACCACAAGGGAGTATTTGAATTTTTTTCCAATTACTAATGATAAAAAAGAAAGAAAGAAATATTACAATTGGCGAAACTTGGGGGGGAAAAACCTAAACAACTCCAACGATTGAAAATGAAATAGGAAAGCACAAAGAAATAAAATTCAAAACATTTATAATTAATAATGACCATGTCATTATTGAAGAAAATATATCTAATCAAAATGTAAAAATACCACGTCATGTTTTACTCGCGAAGACTAAACCCAATCATCTATTGGGTTATTCCGTAGAATTTATTCGTGTATATTTAATCTTCCTCATTGTTGGGCTTGAATGGGAATCACTTGGAGAGATTGGGCCTTATGCAAAGTAAGCCCATATTTCTCAGACATGTCCATGTCTGCTGCCTTTAGCCCATTAGCGAGCTTCCAATCATAATCACGTAGAAGAGAGGCCAACACAATATGCACAGTCCTAATAGCCAATGGCAATCCGGGGCATATCCTTCTTCCAGCCCCAAAGGGAATCAACTCAAAGTCTTGGCCTTTAAAATCAATCTCACTCTCCAAGAATCTTTCAGGCATAAATTCATTTGGGTTTTTCCAAATACTTGAATCTCTCCCCATGCCCCATACATTAACCAGAACTTGTGCATTTTTAGGCAACATGTAGCCACATAGTTCAAAATCAACTTCTGACTTGAGTGGCATTATGAATGGAAGTGGTGGGTGCAAGCGAAAAGTTTCCTTCACTACTGCTTGTAGGAAAGGAAGCTTTGAGATATGTGATTCTTCAAGTTGTTCACCTTTGACAAGTACCTCTTGAAGCTCTTTTCTAACTTTTTCTAGTTTTTCTGGTTTGTGTAGCAACTCAGCCATCGCCCATTCTACTGTAATTGATGTTGTGTCTGTTCCAGCCACAAATAAATCCTGAAATGATTAATTAGTAAAATCATATGATAAGATGAAATGCCTATATTTGACTTAGTAAGAAATTGAGTAATTTGTGTTCTGTTAAAAGAAAATAATAATAGTAATATATAAAGTTTAGTTTGTATATACAAGCAAGACGAGAATGTATCCTCTTGTATGTTATTTAGCATGATTATGTCAAATGAGAAATCATATTATTCATGATAGATGAATATCGACGAGGGATGAGAGAGAAAAAATATTGAAATAGAAAATAACAAAATTGTCGCTATTAATCTGACAAAGAATGATTATGATCTTCTCAATATATAACATTGTTACGTCAGTTAATTAACACATGAGAAGATCAAGATTCTCACCAGAAATAAATGCAAAACATGTTGACGGCTCACTTGTGAATTCTCTTCTAGCATGACTTCCAACAGAGATTCTAGCACGTCATTGAATGCCTTAGTTTCATTTTCTAAAGATCTTAAGCGCAATCTTTCTTCTATAAGACCATCAAAAAACGCAATTAACTTTCCAAAGTAACTATTCATTCTTGCACGAGCACCCTGTGGATCAAGCACGCGAAAGATTGGGAAATAGTCCACAACATTAGGCCTTCCAAGGTCTTCCGTGATACCGGAAACGATGTCCTTGAACTCTTGAGACTTGTCAGAAGTGTAATGAGCCAAATCCATAGAGAAGAAAGTGTTTGATATGGAATTAAGAATGGTTGTAAATGAAGCCTCACCAATATTCAAAGCTTTACCTTTCTTGCAACTTTCCTTAACATAATCCAGCAATTCTTGCACCATCCTTTGACGAAGAACTTGTGTAGAATCAAGTTTCTGAGAAGAGAGTACTTTGTTAACACAAACTCTCCTGAGGATCCTCCATTGAGATGAAGGAGGCATCCATGCCACTGAAAGTTGGTGGTGGTCAAGTGCTCTTACAGTATCTGGAACTGTCCTATTACCGAAGATTTGATAATGTTTATGAAATACTTCTTTGGCTATTTGGGGAGAGGAAATAACTATGGTGGTTATGTTGCCTAACTTGAGACTCATTATAGGTCCATAGGTTTGAGAAAGCTTAGTAAGTGACTGGTGGGGTTTGGTGCCAAGTTCCAAGATGTTTCCTATTATAGGATAAGGACGAGGCCCTGGGGCTTGTTTGTGAGATTTGGTGCTTTTTCTACCTAAGCTGGAAATAAGGACATGAATGACTGCCAACAAGACAAAGGAAATAAAGAGAAGTATAAGGTAGTCCATGGTTCTGTTCTTGCCTTCAAGTTTTTCCTTCTCTAACTAGTTTCTTTTATATAGAAGAAATGTTGTTCTAATCAAAGGTCATAGAACATGCCCTGCAAAACTTTTTTTTTCCATAAATAGAAGAGAAGTTGACTTATTTGATTGTCCCGTTCTAAAATTGGGATATATGCATTTTTTTTATGGGTTTTATAAGAGTTATGTTGTAGGAAAAGTGATTGTGTTATGTTATAGAGATTCGTTTTGCGTGCCGAAGTTTTTTTTTTTTTTTTTGCTGCGGGCCCCACAAAATGTTTGTGTGTAGTAAAATTTTTATGGTCATGTTAAATGATAGATGATAAACCCTTTTTTTATTTAGTCCCAAATCCAACTTGATAATGACTACTTGGCTTACTTATAGTTGCTACTTTAAAACTCGGACCGATCATCTACTCGATCAATTGTTCAATTGAAGTCAATCGAATTTTAAAATAATATATAATAAATATTAAATTATTAACATTACGTCAAAAAAATAAAAGTGATCTAGTGATAAGCTTTCTAATTCTCAAATAAGGAAATTCAAGTTCCAATCCTGTTTGCTTGCAAAAATGGATCTGATATCCAGCTCGAACTGGTGTTACCGAAACCCGGGTCTCATAACTAAGTAAGCTAGAACTTGATACACTCAATATTTAGATAAATATATAAAATATACATAATATATATATATATATGGTTGATTAAAAAAATTTAAAATGTTAGAAACTAAAATTTTATAATATATAAAAAAACTAAATATTATCATGTTATGTAAAATAATTAATTTATGTAAATAAAATGTTATAATTTATCAATTTATCAATAATTTTTAAATGAATTGAAGTTTTTAAATAATATATAGCACTGTGTTATTTTAAAATGTGACTCGAAAATACACGACCCCTTTTTTAAAAATTTGAATAACTAGAACATCCTTATTTACAATGAGAGTATAATGTTCGGCAGGCAGGTTGTCTTGTAATAATTGTAGGACGAGATGCAATTAATGGAAAGATTATGTAATTAGCAAGGAATATGAGTGGAATATGAATTAGAATAAAATGTTGTAAAGGATTTTAATTTTGCCGTCATAAGTTATTATGGACTCTAAATTTAATAAAAAAATCATTAAATAATGCTTGTCAAAAGTCACTTGTACCATGTGTTTGTCCTTAATTATTATAAATTTATATGTGTCAGGTAGATGCTTTTATCCTTGGAATATTTTTATTTATATACATATTTTAATAAAGTCAATGTCATTAATTAGTGATAATAAAATATCGGCCCCTTACCCAATTTGTAATATAAAATATTAGTTCATTAAATAATTCCCACTCGTTCAGTTGAATTTGGCACCCATGATACTCGTTTCAAATATGTGACGACACATGACGCCGGCTCAATTGCGAATTCTATAATTAGACACACTAATGCACGTCATGGATACCATTTATATTTCTATTGAATGCAATCGTACGTTATTTTATAAGATATGGTCAGGTGTCTTGTCATCTTGTGGAGCATTGTGACTCAGAAACTCAAATAGATTATCCCTCATGAGAGGACGAAGTTATCCGTGCATCATGTGACAATGACTGTTCATACAGATAATATATATGTGACTATCAAAATGAAATATTAATACTCATCTAGCATATAATTATTCTAACCTAATCAACTAACATATAGTTATTTTAACTTAATCGGTAATCTCAAGATCGAATCTGAATACACTATATTGAAGATTGAATCTGAGTATATTATACTGAAACCCTAAACTTACATATTTTTTTAAAAAGATCACCCTCTATAACCTACTTACACTTTTAACCTTGTAACAATTAAACACTTCTGTTAAGTCCACATCCAAATCCGTTAAGTGATCATGTGATGTAACAAGTTCTAAAGCTTGTTGGAAGCAAGGGGAGGATAGGAAAGCAAACGATCGTGTGAGACTCATAGAAGCACTCTTTTTGTTGATTAGTTGTATATAATTGTAGGGAAATATTTCTCTTCAGTAACAGGAAAGAGAATTATATACTGTAGTTATATGCTTTTTAGAATACAGTGAAACTGTATCTTAAAAAACATGTATCATTTGTAGATAATTTCTCTACAACGAGATTAATAGAACCTATAATTGTATTGTGTCCGGAGACCAATACACCAGGAAGAAGAGAATGGTTTTATCTAAAGAAGAGATTTGAGGAACTGAAGTTTTAGAGCCTGTTGTATCAAGTACGTGATCAATTAACAGATTTGGATGTGAATTTCACATAAGTGTTTAATTATTGCATGCGGATAGCTAAATTGCTTCAATTCAAAGTAGAATGAAGGTGGTCTTCTGAAAAAATGTGTTAGCAAAAAAAAAAAAAAAATCGTCAGCTAATAGCCATGGACTATTTGACATTTATCCAACTATTCTCCTTTGTAAATAATGCATAATCTATGTCCAGGTCTTTGGCCTTAGCAACAAAGACACACAATCCCCCAAGCTCCCACCAGGTTCTCCTTGTTATCCTATCATCGGAAACATAGTGCAATTTGGCCAACCCAAATGTACCACGTCCACGCACTGTAAGATAGGCTCTATTACAATATTACCAATTGTGTTCATTTCCTCTCAAGCTTAACCAAAAAAATATTTTTTAAAAATTATCAAGTATTTTCACATAAGGATGTGTATAATAATTATTTTTTCTCTGGCTTTTTTATTTTTGTGCTTAGAAAAATATTTGAGAATTTGATAACAGTTTTTTTATTTTATTTTCTATGAGAAAAAATGTGTATTAATTTAATAAAGGGAAAAATTCAAAAATCCTCGTATGGTTTATTCTTTTATCACTAACCCTCTGACACATTTTTTTTCTTATTATTTACCTTTTGGCGCAATTGGATCTGCGGAAGTATAAAGACTATTGTGGTTTGGAATGCGACAAATAATCATCATTCTTTGTAGGGAAAAGTGTTTGTCATTTTAAATGTCATAACACTCTGTCCTTTTAAGAGAGAGACAGACATAGAAAAAAAATTATTTAAATCTTAAATTAAAAAAAATCATCCACTTTCTCTCTCTCATGATTTTTATTTTTCTGTGTCTATCTCTCTCCTAAAATGACATAACTTATGTCATTTAAAATGACAAACACCAAACCCTTCTTTGTAATATTAAATTATAGGGAAAAGTGTGTGTCGTTTCAAAGGATGTAAAATTGTGACATTTTAAGAGAGAGAAAGAGATAGATAAAAGAGGAGAGAGAGTTGACAAAAAAATTAAAAGGTGTGGATTCCACTTCTTTGTGAGAGTAATGAAATGATATAAATTGTGTCATTTAAAAGGATAAACATTTTTCTCTAAATTATAATATCATACATCTTGTTTCGCAAACCCACAAGGAATCTCCTTGTGTCGATGTGGTGAGTGGTGACCCATTTTGTCTCTACTACTACAGAATCTCCTCACTTCACGATCAAGTCTCCTTTGTGTCACTACACAATCAAGTCTCCTTGTTGAAGATGGATACAAGTAAATCTTCCAGACTATTCTTTAAGGGAAAGGGAAGGGTGTGTGGGCACTCTAAGATTTTATTTTTTTGAGCTCATAGTAACAACATTGTCCGGCTGATGACTACAATGGAGCTGTTAATATGCACACTAAGAAACCAAAATCCTAGACTTTTTGGACTCTTCTCATATACTGAGCCCAACAATACCCCCCCCCCCCCAATTTTTTTTTTTTTTTTTTTATCAAAATTCACCTTCAAAATTGAACTAATTTGCCTATTTAACCCATATTTTGCCCACATAAAAAAAGAACAAATCTATCATAAACAAATATTGGAATCTAAACTCATTGAGACAGAGAAAATGAAATAGCTTTTTTTTGTGTATAATAATTATTTTAATTGGTTTATCGCTTCGCTAGTCGCGACTAGTCCGATTCGAGGGCGGGTCTCGGGATTAAGGCTTTAAAACCCCTCCCAAAAATGATACAATGTCAGGGGAAGCCCGTGGCGGGAGACCACCACCAATGGACTAAGCTACACCAACAGTAACAAGTGAGTCCGACCATGTCTCAACCCAAAACCTTAATGCATTGGGTTCATGGGTCCTTTCACTTATATATTTTTCAATTAGTCCATTCCTAACCAATGTGGGACTCATCACACTTGAATATCTCAACAAACTCCCCATGAAATCCAACATTGATAGCGTCCCCTCAACCGATTACCCAAGGCCCAAATACTCAACCCGCCTCATGACCAATCACCAAGCTAGCTCGAACCCAACCCGACTCTGATACCAATATTGGGAATCATTCTCTCACCCCACCTGCTCAGTTTCCTACCAACTACCATCGTTTGCTCCAAATGAAATAACCTCTTTCTCTAATCCGCTATTGTCATTTTCCACCTTAACGTACATGTAGCATATACAGTCTGGCTCCCGCTACCACTACATGGCAGCTCATACAAATAATAGTTGAAACTGAAAACCTTTATCTTTCAAACACACAACATAATCTTGATTTAACCAACTAATTCCTCTTCGTTTTGCAGAGATGAGCACCCTCGTAAATGATAAACATTCATGCTCTGCCAAATAGAAATTATTCATCGTACCACGGGGAAACACAAATTCTTCTTCGTCGTGCCATAATCTTGATTAGTGCTTTTAATGTAAGCAAAACACAGGTAAAATGGGAAAGTTAATTAAAATTTTAATGGTGTTTGTAACTCCTTCGTCAAATAATAATAATTCAATCATAAACCCACTCTAAAACATATAATTCAATCATATATTATTACAAATAACACCTCAAAATATATAATTCAATCACAAATTATTACAAACAACACACCTATATATATAATTATTATAAACAACACTTCAAATTAAAATAAATAATTTTCTACCAAAATAAATAAATAAATAATTCAATCATAAAATATTAACAAACAAAGTTCGAAGACATTCCAAATATGAATGTTTTCTTTAATATATGATTATTATTAATAATATTTTACTATTAAAATATTAAATTTACCATTGACATTATAATGTTTTTCCTATAAATAAAGGCTATAGCAGTCCTCACCAAAAAAAAAAAAAAAAAAGGCTATAGGAGTCATTTGTCATTGCTTCAAACTTGAGAGAAATCAAGTAGTGAAGAGTATTGAAAAATTTAGAGAAAACTCTACAGGGAGAGAAAAAGAAAAAAAAATTGGAAGTAAGAAAACATAATAAGAAGGAAAGATAAAAGAGAATACTAAGAGTGAGGATAACTTCTTTTTTCTAAAATATAAAACCCATAGAAGTGTTACTTTGTTATTTTATTTTATTCTTCCTCTTATTCCCCTAACCAGTCTTGTTAGGATACCATGATCCAACTTTTTTATGTTATTTATTTTAACAATTTATACTTTTCACTTTATAAATATATGCACACACACATTCTAATTTTATATTTAAATAAATTTAAATTTTACAATTTATAATTAGTGTACATGTGCGTAATAACATATATGTTAAAATAAATTTAAATTTTACAATTTATAATTACTCTACATGTGCGTAATAACATATATGTCAATAATATCATATATATATATATATCCAAAATTATTTCCAGTTCCCCCTCTCTTTCCATATCGGGAAAAAATAGATAAAGTAAACATAAAAAAAGTAGAGAAAATATTTTATCCAATTTTTTTATTTTTGATATATCGATCATAATTATCTTTTTGATGCAAGTATTTTATCTAAATTTTAATTTCTTTATGTTTAGTTAAATTAATATTTAGCCATCTATTAATTGATACCATAAAAAAAATGAAAGAAGTATGAGGAGAGAAATAGAGAGAAAATGTGCTATTCTCCACCTTAGATGTGAAAAAGCAAAAAAAGAACACGAGCGAAAGAATATCGACCTAATATTGGTTTAAAAAATATATATAAGTATGAAAGAAAAAAAAAGAATATAATTAAAAAATTTCATCAGTGTTGGAAGATTCATCCGCAGAATCGAAATTAAATTAATAAAGTAATCGAATAAATTAATGAAAAATAAAATAAAATAAAATTGATCAGCAATATTTTTTTTGGGTAGGTTATACTATAATTCTATTTATCTTTTTTGATGTCTCTTTATTTACTATTCTGCAATACAGTTAGATCAGAAGCGGAAGATATACTTACCACTAAAAAAGTTTATCACTTTTACAACTAATTTAATCATTGTTGATTTTTGTCAATGTAACGGTTATAATTTATTCGAAATTATTGGGTCGTATTTATTAATTAATTATTAATTTTCAATAAATTCAAGAAATTATAATCGTTAGATTGAAGAAAATCAACGGTGATTAAATTAGTTACAAAGATGATAAACTTTTTTAATAATAAATATATCCTGCCCAGATCAGAATCTTAGAAAAAAATTATAAAAATTAATTGAGATTATGATGTTATGAAAAAAAAAACAGTAAAAATAACTTATTCGATTCTATTTTATCTATTTTCTATCTTTCTAAGTTAATTCTTCTTATTCTATCTTCGCGTGACATAGAAAACACTTCATTTCAGTCTTAAGGTAAGGTCTCAACACCTCTTGAAAAGAAGAAACAACACCACCGTAACTCGGAACCAGATGAACGATGAGCGCACGGAGAGGGAGACACAGTATTGCTGCGTTTCCCACGAGTTCTTCCGAATTGCGTCTGCGAACCCTAACAAAATCGCTGTGATTCATGCTTCAGGCGTGGCCAACCTTTCCAGAGAACTGCGCCGCGAAAATGCCTCCTCCCCCAACTTCAATGGAGACATTGCCACACTCTTAGAAAAGAGCGTGGAATCCACGTCCCCGCCACTGTACTATGGGGACCGTTGCTTCACTTACTCTCATCTCTTGAACGCCGTTCGTTCCCTCAGCTCTCGCATCCGCTCTATCCTGCTTGGTGCGGATGACCCTCACTTGATCAGAACCAAACCTCGTGGTTCGTTATTCACTCGACAATGGAAAATTCAGTTTGTTAGTTAGATAGTTAGTTAGTTTTCAATTGTAATTATAAGATAGATAGTTAGTTAGTTGCTTATATGTTAGTGACAACATTGGAGATAAGGTCATGTGGATGTGGAGAGAGAAAAATTCAAGGGATCCATTCCGGAGGGGAAGCTAGTTTAGGTGTGTTTGGTTGGAGGAGTTTTGGAGGGAAAGGGTAATTTTTCGTTTCTAAATTGAGAAAATTATGAAATGTTCATAAAACTGCTTAAGGGATGATTGGAAGTTTACAATGATAATCTCTCATTTTATACTTCTCATTTTAATAAGTAATATTAAGAAGGGTAGTCCTTGGAGCGAGTGATAAGGTTGCTCCTTTGTGACTAGAAGATAACTGGATTCGAGTCTAAGAAACAGTCTTTTTACAAAAATGCAAGGGTAATACTATGTATACTCAATTCTCATCCTAATGCCCATAAATTCGAGGAGCCTTTATGCATGGAGGTTTGCCCTTTTCCCTTAAATAACTAATATTAAGGAAATATGTGGTTTCATTTTATCAAATGTCCACTGTCTAGAAGATTTTGCAAATGCCTGACAAGCTGTTATTCGATGGCTCGTAATCTATTAGTCTTTTATATGTCGGAATGGAGAAACATATTGTGCTTGATGCTGAACTGGCAACCCATATTCTGCTTCAGGTAAAAAGGGAAATGTTCAAACATCTGAGTCCTCAGAAACTGTTGAGCCTAGTGAAGAGCCAATGGCTGATTCAAGTGAAGAGTATAGGCCAAAGATAGTGGGAATGTATATGCCTCCTTCTATTGAATATATTGTTGCTGTTCTTTCTGTGCTGAGGTGCGGGGAAGCCTTCTTGCCTCTGGATCCTTTTTGGCCAAACGAAAGGATATTGTCAGTTGTTTCTTCTTCAAATGCCGATCTCATTATAGGGTCCCGATCTTCATTTGGTAAAAGTAACTTGGACCAGCTTGATGAATCCCATTGGCTGGTTAAGTCAGTTTGTTGTCCTGTTTTGAACTTCTCCATTGAAGAAAACCTTCGAGAATGCAGCTGTCCAACAGATTTGGCATGGCCTTGTGCCAATGAAAAGCAGAGATCATTCTGTTATCTGATGTACACTTCTGGATCAACTGGAAAGCCTAAAGGAGTGTGCGGCACTGAACAAGGTAACTTGTTACTGTAGATTGTTGCGACTGTTATTATACATAAAAGTAAGATTTCTTTACTGAAATGTTACATGGTTCATGCAATTGTCAGTTTCCTAACTTTTTCGTTTTTATGTTCTACATGCGAGAAGAAGCATATCATATTAAGCAGTTTTTTCTGACTTTTTTCCCCCAGTATTCTTTAATATTATGGTTTTTGACTCTTAATTAACATAACCTATTATTATGATTCTTACATCTTTTAACATCCTTATTGGATAATTGGATTTTTAAAATCTTGTATTGAGTAAAACAATGTTCAATATTTATAGTTCTATCATTTTGGTTAAAACAACATCCTGTTTTTATGTATTCTCCTGTCTGAAGAAGAATTCAGTTTTATGCCAGGGAGGTCGACCATGGTGGTTATATAGTATATACCTACTGTTTGATTTGATATGAAAGGAAACAAAAAGACTTGCAAATAGTCTTCATTTAAATAGAAAAAGGCCCATGATACAATTCTATGAGAAGTTCTATGGAAGGCTCTTATATTATGAGAAAGGAGTTCATATCGCATATATTTGACCTGTAAAAGATATGTATTATGGTCATGGAGCAACAATTAGTATGTGAACTCATGGAGGTGTAACATAAGATTGTCCTGTAACAATAGGTTTGCACCAAGGATCAACTTGGTGTTCATACCTTTGTATCTTGGTATTGGACATACTTACAGGGTACATCCCAAAGTAAGAGCCTTAATGCATGTTTTTTGTGAATGATGTAGTCCTAGTTTATGGGTTGTGACTCAGAACAAGTAAATTCTAAACTTGAGTTGTGAATAGAAGCCTTGAAATCAATGGTTTTTGGTTAAGTAGGGAAATTTTTTTTTATACGGAGTACAATTTCAACATGAAGTGGAAACGTTTTGAAGGTGAAAATTGAGAACCACATCATACAATAAGTTGCAAAATTTAGGTATCTTGTATCCATCCTACAAAATGATGGGAGATTGATGGAGATGTCAAATATAGGATTCATGCTGAGTGGATGGAATGGAGGAGTGCTTTAGCTGTAATTTGCCATAACAAAGTGCCTATCAAATTCAAAGGAAAGTTCAATGCGACAAATATAAGACCAATGATGCTATGTGGTAATGAAGAGCCAACAAGAGAATTTTTTTTTTTAAGATAATAATGTTGAGGCAGATGAGTGGATATATATGCAAGAAATTATAAGATTGGGAACAAATGTATCTCGGAGAAAGTTTGAGCAGCACTTACTAAGGAGAAGATGATGGAAATTCACATAAAGTGGTTTCTCATGTGAGAAGACTAATAAATAGTACAGTGAGAATAGTGGATAAAAAAAGGAAGATCTAAGAGAACTCTAGGAGAAACCATTAAAAGAGACCTTGTTCTAAATACTTTTATCAGAATTTTGGTTTTTGATAGAGCCCAATGGTGTCAATTGATCCCTGTAGCCAATCCAATCTAGTGGGATAAGGATTGGTTGTAATTGAATTTTTTTTGTAATTTGTCGTTCAAAACAAATAAGTTTCTCTGTAAATTATCTGATTTTAAAATAAAAGTTTCTGATCCATAATAATTTTTTTTTTATGTCTATATAGTATATACTGTGTTATGTCACAATTTGTGTTGCATTCTTGTTAGGTCTTTCAAATCGCTTTTTATGGATGCAAGGAAAGTATCCTCTGAACGGACAGGAACTATTGTTGTTTAAATCATCAATTAGCTTTGTTGACCACCTGCAAGAATTTCTCAGTGCTATTTTGACTGCTTGTGTGTTAGTTATTCCTCCTTTCAGTGAGCTCAAAGAAAATTTATATTCTATAATAGATTTTCTGCAGGTATGGTGATTCCTGATTAAGCTTTTGTGATTTATGTATTGCCATTATTCATCTTTTACATCTGTAATTCGTTGAACTTTTGTTGCACATTTGGCAAGAACTGCAGGTTTGCATTCGTTTCTAACTAATGCTTATCAACAACCTTTGGGAGTTTAAGTTTTTAGCTGTATTGCCAAATAAATTCCCATTATGTTTTTGGTAACATTATTGGAAATGCTGTTTTGCAATGTTTCTATGTTTGTAGATAATAACTTAAACATTGTTCATAAAGACTGTAATTTATATTTTTAAATATCACATATATTTGAGAAGTATTCTGTATTCTATTAGTCTCTATCAATTAGTAATAAAATTATACTTTTTTTAATTGCTTATCTTTGCCAATTACATTAAATGCTTCTGTAGGCTTATTTTGTTAATAGGCTTACGGCTGTTCCATCACTAATGAGGACAATTCTTCCTGGATTGCAAACTGATGCTGACATGCGGGTTAAAGGTTCACTGAAATTGCTTGTGCTAAGTGGTGAAACTTTTCCTTTGACCTTGTGGGAGATGCTTTCGACTTTATTACCAAAGACATCAATCTTGAATTTATATGGAAGCACTGAGGTTAGAGCAGAAGACTATCTTCTAGACTGAGTTTTTGCAAGAAAGTTTGTAATTTGTAATTGCTGTCTGGTTCCTCTTATGAGATTCTTTCACACGCTATTTGACATAGCATTTTATTCTTTTCCATGTGTGAAGGTAATTTCAAAATATTTCCTAGCTGCTGCCTTGTTTTCTGTTCTTGTTTTGTTACTGGCTTACTGGAATTCAATGCTCATATAGTCATGTTTATGAGATATTATAGACTAAGTGAATTAATTGGAAACAGAGTTGCCACACTTAAAATTATTATTATTATTATCCTACTGGAACAGCTGCTCTGCCGCTGTAATGACTAATGACAAAATAAATGAAAAAAATATGTGAGATCACTTCTGTTACATTGACTCTTTTGTTTGTTTCCCCTGCCGAATCACTACACTTCTTTTAGGTAGTGAATGAAATCTGATAATTAAAGTGGTGGAAATGCAATTCCTTGGATGTGCTTCAGAACAATTTGACCCTATTTTCCATTGCATTCCATAAGCTTTTTGAAATATTAGAAGTTTCTTAGCTGGGCATAAGCATACATATTCTTACTATAATTTGTGACAAATGGAAAGTCACCATTAGATGCCCTTTTGGTCTTAACTTTTTACCATTGGAACAGAAGTCTGTTGGTAACGGTTACTTAAAACATTTTAGGTACAGATTATGATTACAAGGAGTCCCCTAGATTTTGTTTTGTTTTCCTTTACCCTGTAAAATTTTAATTGTCATAGATTTGAGGGGATTTTCAATGCTATAGGTAGATATTATGGGCCATCCTTTCTATTCATTTTTTAGAGAAAAAAAGAGAGAAAAGTATGTTTGAAAACATTAAAATTTACTGACCAATTTAACTTTTTATCTGTAATCATGTGTTTTTAAATAACAACTTAAGCTTTTGGGAGAGTTGGTTCTTGACATATATTGGTAGAAATTTAGAAATTGATTTTATATAAAAAATGCTTAGCAACTTTGATTTAAACTCAAAGAGAGAACCCCTATAAATTTCCTAGTTCGTCCCTTTTTCAATTAGATTATGCATTAAAATGCTGACATTATCTTTGAATATGCACCCTTTAATTATTATCATCGGCCATATGTTACAACGGGTAGCTAACTGTGTCATGAAAAAAAAAAAAAAATAGTGGAGGTGAGTTTATTATTCTAAACTAGACAATGTGCTTAGATTGGTTCCATAACCTCAAGGTCCATCTAACTTACTAATTATGCACGGGGAAAAACCATGAAGACTTGGAATTTATAAGCAAAGTACAAATAACGAGAATAAATTCAAGCACAAAAAAAAACCACTCCCCGTTAAACCCGACTAGCGAGTGTGGGGTGGAGGAAATCCTTGTACGCAGTCTTACCCTCGCATAATTGCAAATAGGTTGTTTCCTGGATTCGAACCCATGACCTTTCAGTCATGAAGGAACAGTTTTACCACTGCTCTGGTTCACCCCCTTTAAATTCAAGCACAAAATTTTAAGAAATTTAGAGAATAATGGAGGGTTTGATTAAGATCTGGTGGGACGGTTTGATTTACAAAAGTGGTTAGGCAAATATCATCCTCTTGAGAGTAATGCTTGTTGGGCTTTGATTTATCTTTTATTTTCATTTATTTTAGAGTAAATACCCTTTTTCGTCCCTGACAATTTTCACGAAGCCCCTTTTGGTCCCCAACAATAAAAAAGGCTCATTTTGGTCCTTAATTTTACAAAAATAGGACCACGTTTATCCTTCCGTTAGTTGGCATCCAACGGCCCAACTAACGGAGCACACGTGGAACGTTAGTTTACTGAGTCACTGTTAAGTATGCCAGCGTGGAAGTAATACGACGCCGTTTTGAACATGCCTTATGTCTTCTTGGAGTTTTGGACAGCTGACCCTTTCATGAAGGCCCTATTTGGTCCCTGACAAATTTATCGAGGCCTTATTTGGTCCTTAACACTAAAAAAATGGATATGAACACGGAAGTTGCAAGGCTATCATGACCTCTTTATATTCAAATTGTCATTTGTCTTTGACTCTTACCTGGCATTCCTCCTCCTTCTCTCCCACCTACCCAGACTCCAAACTTTTTTGTGATGAAACAGAATAACCATTTTTATAACCCTAATTGAGGAATTCAACCATAAAGTAGACTATCGATAAATATATGGCTCCAAAACTCCTTTCAAGGAATCTAACACTTCAAAAACCCAGTAGACAATTCATAGTTGAGTGATTTACATTATGCCTGCCTAGATAATAGATGAAAACCCCTGCCTCCATCTCATGCCCAAGAAAACAAACAAGGTAGCTATTACGCAGCAAGGTCTTTGTGTGATATTGATTAGCATTTACTAGCTTCCAGAAATAAAACGATAAGATTAATATCAATTGGTCCTTATTAGTATCGATCAGCATAGCATTGTTGACTTTACCTTTTTAGTATGCATTAGCATTTTTATTGGCCTTACCTTTTTAGCATTTCAAATGTTGTTATAAATGCCACAATGACTGAATGGAAAACAACAAGAAATTACTTCCTTCCAATCATTCTCTGATTCTCTTCTCTCTTCTCTCTCTCCCAATCAATCTCTCATTCTCACCTCTCTCTCTCTTCTCTATCATTTTTATTGCTGACTGGAATGCATCTCGATGCACCTATTGCCACTTGGTACCAAGGTAAGGCAGCAAATAACCTCCTGCCCAATTGGGATGCATTTGTTTGTACTATCGGTCGCCTCCTTGGTCCCTCTGAGTATGAGAATCCCACTGCCCTCCTCACTAAGTTGTCTCAGATTGACTCCATCCTCGATTACCTAGACGTCTTCAAGAACCTTGCCATCCAGTTTCATGGTCTTTATCAAGAGTGTTTATGTAGTTTGTTTATCTCTAGCTTGCAACTTCGAGTGCGTATGGCGGTCCATGCTCATCAGCCTGTTGACGTGCATGATGCATTTGCATGGGAACACATGTATGGGCCTCAATTCAATGAGCCATTCCTCAGCAACCGCCTATTTCAGCAGCCACCCAAGGCAACACCAAGCCCGACAAACCCGGCTGCTTCCCAATCCCTTTTCACATGGCCTCCTATCAAATGCCTGACAGAGGTATGACACAACAAAGGATTATGCTTCAACTACGACGAGAAGTTTGTCAACATGGACGGTCTTTTATATTTGGAGGGTCTTTGTTACATGGAGGATGAATCACTACCGCTCGAGCCCATCGAATCAAATCCACCTAAACCATTCACATGACGTGTCTCGACTTGAGGACAAGCTGCATCTACATAGGGGGAGGGAATGTTACGCACCAAGTTTTTCGCGTAATATCAATTAGCATTTATTGGCTTCCATTGATAAATAGATTAGATTGGTATCAATTAGTCATGATTAGTATCAATTACCATTAGCATTTAATGGCTTTACCGTTTCAGAATTTCAAATCTTGTTATAAATGACACAATAGCTGAATGGGAAACAAAAAGACATTACTTCCTTCTAATCATTCTATTCTCTTTTCTATCTCATTCTTGCCTCTCTTTCCCTTCTCCTCTGTCATTTCTTTGCAATTCCGCCACCCCTCTAGAAATTCACTTAACAGTAGCCATCACATAGATGGTTTCTCAAGTCAGTGTGTTTAGATTCTGGAACAGTAAGTAGGTCAATTGAATTCTTCACTTGCCACTCCCCCACTTCAGAAGACAAACATTTTATGAATTATCACCCGTCCATAACAAATTCCCTCACAATCTTACATTACATCTCAATATTTTGCATTTCAGGATTTTGAACAAAAATGAACTGTATTGATTACACTGATGCATGTAGCACCATCTTATATACAAAGGCCATTACAAGGAAGTAAAGCTACCTTTATAACAGAAAAGTAACTAATCCTATTGTTAGAAATAATATTAATTTATTATTATTAGAATAGTCTAGAATAGTCTAGATTGTGGGCTTGGCCCATTAGGTCATCCCATTAGGTCTTTTAGTCTCTATAAATAGAGAGCCTCCTTGTAGAGACTTACACACTTGAATATACAATATATTTCAGATTCAATTTGGTATCAGAGCTCTCGATCTGAGGGCTCTGCTTCCGCATATATATCTTTTCCTTTCTTTTTACTGCCGTGCATCATACCGGCAACCATCCTTTCACACCTAACCCTTATTTAGTCACAAATTTCTTGTCCTCAACCTCGTATCATCAGGAAAAAGATCGTCAGCCTCCGTTCATCGCCGGAAACCGCCACAAAACCACCGTCCGCCACTGTTCACCGCCGTCAGACTGCTTTTCCGGCGACTTTTCCGACCAACCACCACGCGATCAGGAGCGGCTCAGGGAGGCGACCCTGTCTGTCCAAGCCGCGTGTTGATCGGAGCATCCACGCGCCGCCACGCGCCGGTGGAAGTCTCCGGCGGCCGAACCACTGTTCCGGCGCGTGAGCCACCGTCCGGCCACCGTTCAAGGCCGGACCACCACCATCTTGCTCGCCTCCTCACCCTCTTTCCAGATCTGGTCTCCGTTCGTTGTGGGTCCCATCCGTTTGAAAGATATCAGTGAAAAACCCGTTGTTTGGACACTTTTGTGCAACGTTTTTGCGCGATTTCTTGCTTTCTTGTAGTTCTTTGCTATTTTCTGGTCATCTCCTTTTATTTTGTGATGGAGGGCTCAAATAATGCGTCCAAAAACACGACTGGCATCATCTCCGGTACTACCCCATCTCCATTCTTTTCTCGGGCCAGTGATTCCAATTGGAACAGTGGACGCGGTCGCAGACGTGGCCGCAGACAGAGGCCTCGTTGCAATTATTGCCAGAATCTTGGGCATTTTGAAGAACGCTGCTATAGGAAGTACCCTCATTTGAAGCCACCGTCTGCCAAATTTGCTCAAACTGATGTTACGCCACCTTCAACTGGATTAGTAACTCTTTCAAGTGCCGACTATGAGGCACTTCTCAAGAAGGTTTCTTCTCAGCATCCTACTCAAGACACTGGTAATCATGTTGCTTGTTTTTATCAATCATCTCTTGGACCCTGGATAATAGACTCAGGTGCTACTCATCATCTTTGTGGTAATAAAGATCTCTTCACTTCACTTTCTTATTCTAATAACCTACCCCCTGTCACTCTTGCTGATGGCACTAAGGCTCCTGCTCGTGGAATTGGGGAAGCCAACCCAACTCCCCTTTTAACTTTGAGTTCTGTTTATTATATACCTGGCATTCCTTTTAATTTAATCTCTGTTAGCCAGTTGATTCATTCTCTTTCATGTACTATTACCTTCTCTAAACAATCCTTTTCTATGCAGGATTCGGGTACGGGGAAGACGATTGGAGCAGGCGTTGAGTCACGAGGTCTCTACTATCTGATTGCACCACCTTCTCCAGTAGCCTGTTCTCTCACAGAGTCTCCTGAGCTAATTCACAGCCGTCTGGGTCATCCAAACCTCTCCAAGCTTCAGCATATGGTTCCCTTTTTATCCAATCTTAAGTCTTTAAACTGTCATTCTTGTCAGCAAGGAAAAAACACACTCGCTCCTCCTTTGCTAATAGAGTCAATAAAAGAGCTGATGCTCCTTTTTCTATTGTTCATTCTGATATTTGGGGTCCGAGTCGAACAACGTCTGTTTTGGGTTTTCAGTATTTTGTCACCTTTATTGATGATTTCTCCCGTTGCACTTGGGTTTATTTAATGAAAAATCGTTCTGAGTTATTTTCAATTTATCAAAAGTTTTGTGCAGAAATAAAAACTCAATTTGGTGCTTCTATTCAAATCTTGCGCAGTGATAATGCAAAAGAGTATGTGTCTCTTGAATTTTCTAAATTTCTGGATACACAAGGGACGATACACCAGACTACCTGTCCCCACACTCCACAACAAAATGGAGTCGCTGAACGTAAAAATAGACATCTAGTTGAAACTGCACGTACCCTTCTCATTCATATGAACGTCCCACTCCGTTTTTGGGCAGATGCTATTATCACCTCATGTTTCCTTATCAACCGCATGCCCTCTTCTGTGCTAAATAATGATGTTCCCCACAGTATTTTGTTTTCCGGAGCACCTTCTTATCCTCTGCCTTTACATATTTTTGGCTGTACTTGTTTTGTTCATGATCTTACTCCAGGTAAAGACAAGTTGACATCCAAGGCCTTCAAATGTATTTTCCTTGGGTATACACGTTTTCAAAAAGGGTATCGTTGCTATTCTCCTGATCTCAAGCGTTATATCGTTTCTGCTGATGTCACTTTCCTTGATCAGCAGCCTTTTCACTCTACTCCGTCTCCAGTGTCCCAAGTTGATCAGGTCCTTCCTGTTCCTTTTCTTGACTTGTCTTTACCAGCTGCAGGTGACCCTATTCCAGAGGAGCAACCAATTACCTCCATACCTGCAGATCGTCCTCTCCTCACATACCAGCGTCGTCAGCCTGCACCTCCTCCGACTTTGCCTCTTGATGACTCATCGCCCTTTCCCGTCGGCTCTTCTCCTCCGGATCCTCCATCATCAGAGACTCCTCCCATTGCCCTTCGGAAAGGTATTCGATCCACTCGAAATCCTCATCCCCTTTATTCTTTCTTGAGTTATGACAGACTTTCTTCACAACATTTTACTTTTGTTTCTAGTCTCTCTTCTGTTTCCATCCCTAAAACCACAGGTGAAGCACTATCTCATCCAGGGTGGCGCCAGGCGATGCTTGATGAAATGCAGGCACTTCACTCCAATGGCACTTGGGATCTTGTTCGTGCTCCTCCCGGGAAGTCTGTTGTTGGTTGTCGATGGGTGTTCACAGTTAAAGTTGGTCCTGATGGCACTGTTGATCGCCTTAAAGCTCGCTTAGTGGCCAAGGGATACACACAGATCTTTGGTCTTGATTATGGGGATACCTTTTCTCCTGTTGCTAAGATGGCTTCTGTTCGCCTGTTTCTTGCCCTTGCCGCCATTCATCACTGGCCCCTTCTCCAACTTGATATTAAGAATGCTTTTCTACATGGTGACTTGCAGGAGGAAGTTTATATGGAGCAACCACCAGGTTTTGTTGCTCAGGGGGAGAGTTCTGGAATGATATGTAAACTTCGGAAATCTTTATATGGCCTGAAGCAATCTCCTCGGGCCTGGTTTAGCCGCTTTAGTTCAGTTGTTGAATCCTTTGGATTAATCAGAAGCAAAGCCGATCATTCTGTCTTTTACCGGCATAGCTCTTCTGGCCAGTGCGTTTATCTCCTGGTCTATGTTGATGACATTATCATTACAGGCAGTGATCAGACCGGGATTGATCAGTTGAAAGAGCATTTATTCAATCAATTTCAGACCAAAGATCTTGGCAGACTTCGATATTTCTTGGGGATCGAAGTTGCACAGTCTAGGCGGGGCATTTCCATCTGTCAGAGGAAGTATGCACTGGATATCCTAGATGAGACTGGCATGTTAGGCTGTAAACCCATTGATACACCTATGGACCCCAATGTTAAGTTATTACCAGGACAGGGGGAGCCACTGCCAGATCCTAGTCGCTACCGCCGACTAGTTGGAAAATTGAATTATCTTACTGTGACAAGGCCAGATATCTCCTTCGCAGTGAGTGTTGCAAGTCAATTTCTTGATTCTCCCTGTGACTCCCATTGGGATGCAGTTATTAGAATTCTCCGATATATTAAAAAGGCGCCAGGAAGAGGTTTATTATATACAAATAAAGGGAGTTCAGAGATCTCTAGTTATTCAGATGCTGACTGGGCAGGTTCTCCTTCAGATAGACGATCCACCTCAGGGTATTGTGTTCTCTTCGGAGGAAATTTGATCTCTTGGAAGAGTAAGAAGCAAACTGTGGTCGCCAGATCCAGTGCGGAGGCAGAATATCGGGCAATGGCAAATGCAACCTGTGAGCTCATCTGGCTGAGTCAATTGCTGAAGGAACTCCATCTCTGTGAACAAAGGCCTATGAAGCTCATTTGTGACAACCAAGACCAAGCATATAGAAATTGACTGTCATTTTGTTAGAGAAAAGATCCAGTCAAGGGAGATCGAGACAGCATTTGTCAATTCCAATGATCAACTTGCGGATGTATTCACTAAAGCTCTTAGAGGTCCCCGAATAGATCATATTTGTAACAAGCTGGGAGCTTTAAAAATTTCAACGTAGAGAATCAAAATATAGAGAAAAATTGGTAGATATGTGAAAGGCTGAAAACATATTGTTCTTTATGGAGTGAATTTGATCAAATAATTGACTCCACTTTGCAGGCTTGAAAACACACTGAATTATGGACTAGAGAGAGTTTGAGCTGTTAGATATGTGAAAGGTTCTCCTTGGTAAGCATTTTTGCAGACTTTCTTTTTTTAGTGTTAAGGACTAAATAGGGCCTCGATAAATTTGTCAGGGACCAAATAGGGCCTTCGTGAAAGGGTCAGCTGTACAAAATTCCAAGAAGACATAAGGCATGTTCAAAACGGCGTCGTATTACTTCCACGCTGGCATACTTACGGTGACTCAGCAAACTAACGTTCCACGTGTGCTCCGTTAGTTGGGCCGTTGGATGCCAACTAACGGAAGGACAAACGTGGCCCTATTTTTGTAAAATTAAGGACCAAAATGAGCCTTTTTTATTGTTGGGGACCAAAAGGGGCTTCGTGAAAATTGTCAGGGACAAAAAAATGGTATTTACTCTTTATTTTAATATTACTAAAATATTAACAATGAAAATTATGAATTTTTTTGGACTGACAGAAGAGGTTTAAGGCTTGGTGTGGAGAGGGGAAGGATGGGCTAAGTTGAGGCAAAGAGGTTTTGATGGGACGTGATCCTGGAATTTAGTAGCTCCCAAAGGAACTTGGTGCCACTTGAGTTAATTACATTAGATTTTGTCATGAAGCACTCTGTTGCACCTTGTCTTTTGTGTCATTACTATTGTCTAATGTATTTGTTTTCTTCTTTTATTTCTGTTGAGATATATAAAAACCATTAATGTAGCCCTCACCCAACAACTTAAGCTTTTGGGTGAGGCTACATTAATGATTTTATATATCTCAATACGCCCCCTCACACGAGAGCCCACTGGGCTTGAAGGGTGGACAATGCACAGGCCCACCTACCTGTGCGAACAAAGAAATTCCACTTGAAAGAAAGTGGGGGGCGGCGAGGATCGAACTCGAGATACGAGGCTCTGATACCATGTAAAGAACCAAATTAACCCAAAAGCTTAAACTTTTGGGTGAGGCTACATTAATGGTTTTATATATCTCAACAATTTCTAATGTAAATTATGCAATTTGTTCGCATGAATTTTTGTAATAGTTGTTGTCTTATTGCATTTTCTTAACTATTTGTATGATTGTCATTGGCTAATGCATTTCTTTTCCTTTTCCATTTTTTTAACTAAGGTCTCTGGTGACTGTACATATTTTGATTGCAAAAAGATGCCATTGGTTTTGAAGGAAAACAAGCTGACTAGTGTTCCAATAGGTTTACCCATCACTAACTGTGATGTGGTGCTTCTTGGTGAAAATGGAGCATCAAATGAGGGAGAGCTATATGTTGGTGGTTCTTGCACTTCTAGGGGTTACTATAATGAATCTAGCATAATGTCTGATGCATTTGTAAAATTGCCTCGTACTGGAGATTCTGTTAATGCTTGCCGAAGCCAATTATACTTTAGAACTGGTGATCTAGCCAAACAATTACCAAGTGGTGACTTTATATTTTTGGGAAGAAAAGACCGCATTATAAAAGTCAATGGACAACGTATTGCTCTGGAAGAAGTTGAAGATTTGCTAAGGGAACATCCATATATAAGTGATGCGGCTGTAATTTATCGAAATAATCAAGCGGAGCTTGTGCTCCTGGAAGCTTTTATAATATTAAAGGACAAGGAAAGATTGGGTGAATTATTAATACCTGCTATCAGAAGTTGGATGATTAACAAACTTCCATCTATTGTACTTCCTAACCGTTTCATCTTTACCGAATCATTTCCTGTTTCTTCTAGTGGTAAGGTTAATTATGAGTTGTTGGTTGGCTCGGCATTATTAACAAAGAATGTCAAGGATAAGGTTGGTAACATTGGCTGCGTCAATCTTCTGCAACTTATTAAAAAGGTATGGTTTCATTATTTTATATGAGAATTTATCTTTTGTGTATCAAAACAGAGATCACTTTCTCCTTTGGTCTTATTTTATTGAACTATATTAGTATTCAAGAACCAGAGGGAAAATGAAAGTAAAGGAAAAAGTTGAGAGAGAAACAAGATAATTGTATTCTCTGAATATTTTGTAATTGAAAAACTGACTGAACCTTCTAAAGTTCTGGTACGTATAGGTAGCAGTTGAGCTAAGTCCCTAACTAACTGTGCCAGCTGGTAGCTGGTTAACTGACTAACAGAACCTAGGAGTTACTCGAGTGTTGTTCAATACAGTCTAACAAGATGTATTTTGTAAACCCAATAGTCATAGTTGGACAAAGTGGTGAGGAAGTGAGAGAAAATGCTGGAGAGAGAAGAGAGAAATCTGAGAATGAAGACATGATTATTCTGAGAATGCATACAAGATACAGAGAGTTAAACAGGGTTCAGAATATAAAGGGGAGAGATCAGACACAATGATGAATCAGCAATACTAACCAACGTAACAAACTCAAACAGAAAGGCTAAAAAACAAGGGAAATATTCCTGTAAAACCAGGTGTAGAACAGAGACACAACCAGCACAGTTAACACTAGTGCAGCAAACATAAATGTACATAATACACTCTAATAGTATGCATGACTGGATATCATAATCTAATTTAATTTTTCCACTCTTTCGTAAATCTGTGATTAAGAGACTCTATGCTCTGGTTTTGTGGCCTGCCTCTTTAATACAAAAAACCCTATAGGGCGTTTGGTACAAGGATTTTTTCCGTATTTCTGGAAAACTGATTTTTTCTAAATTTTTAATTTTAAGATATTATCGTAAACTGAATATAAAAATCATATTTCTTGAAATTGAGATTCTCGGATAAAAAAAAATTTCTCCTCAACCAAAGGTCCCCTAAATACGTTCATGCTCAGTGAGAGATGAGACTCCTGCTCACCATTGTTCCTGCCCGACGACGACGTCTTCTTTGACTCCGGTCGTCGCTCCCTGTGTGCGTTGCGTGCCTTCTCCACGTGCTCCATCCGCAGCTTCGCCGTTGTGCCTTCGCCTTCGCCGGTTGCTGTTCTGTCTCAATCTCTTCTGCGCTGCCTTTGTTTTGTTGCGTTTCATTTCTGCCTTTGTTTACCTTCCGTTTTACATTTTATTTTCGTTTTTGCCCCTGTTATGTTTTATTTGACGAACCAAATTAGTTTTTTTTTTCTCGTTTTATTTCTTTTTGCCTCTGTTTTATTTACCTTCTCTGTTATTCTCAAATTTGTTTTATTTGATAAACCAAATTTGTTTTTTTTTTGCCTCTGTTATGTTTCGTTTTACATTTACTGCATGGGATAAACCAAATTGTGGTTAATTTTTTATTTATTTTATGAATTTGAATGTTGTATTATTTTAGAAAATGTCTTCAAGTGGTATTAATAGTACTACTGCATGTATTATTGAAGAAAAGTAGAAGTGTTTTGTCTGAATAACACTTTCTTGATTCATTGAGAGACCCAATGGGTCCTTTTTATATTGAGTACATCCAACTACCTCAACTACTTTAATAAATATACAACCACCAACTACATAAATATACAACTACCAACTAAATATACAACTACCAACTGCATCAATAAATACTATCTAGAATATTCTACATATTCTACACTCCCCCTCAAGTTGGGAGATATATATTGATCATTCCCAACTTGCTGATCAAATTCTCAAAGGTCGGCTTAAGTAATCCTTTGGTGAGGATATCCGCCGTCTGTTCCTTGGTAGGTATATATGTCAAGCATACACTACCGTCTTCTAATTTCTCTTTGATAAAGTGATGATCAACTTCCACATGTTTTGTTCTGTCATGATGAACAGGATTTTGAGCAATGCTGACAGCAGCCTTATTATCACAATATAATCTGATAGGTAGGGAATAAGAGATCTTCAACTCCTCGAGAAGCCTTCGTAACCAAATTCCTTCACAAATACCATGAGCTAGAGCCTGAAATTCCGCTTCTGCACTGCTTCTTGCAACAATAGTTTGTTTCTTACTTCTCCAGGTCACAAGGTTTCCCCAGACATAAGTACAATATCCTGAAGTAGATCTTCGGTCCATTGCAGAGCCAGCCCAGTCTGCATCTGTATAGATTTCAATCATCCTGTTGTGCCCCTTTTTAAAGAAAATTCCTCGACCAGGGGTATTTTTGAGGTATTTGAGAATTCTATAAACAGCACTAAGGTGTTTTTCCTTAGGAGAATGCATGAATTGGCTAACCATGCTCACAACAAAAGCAATATCAGGACGAGTGTGAGACAAATAGATTAATTTCCCCACTAGTCTCTGGTACTGCTCCCTATCAACATCTTCCCCGTCCTTAACTCCCATCTTGATATTAGCTTCAATTGGAGTCTCTGCCGGCTTGCACCCGAGCATACCTGTTTCTTGCAACAGGTCTAGAATGTATTTTTTCTGAGTTAAAGAAATTCCTTCCTTATTCCGAGCAATTTCCATGCCAAGGAAATATTTGAGAGATCCAAGATCTTTTAGTTCAAACTGGTAAGCTAAACATTTTTTCAAAGAGGTTATCTCCTCGCTATCATTACCAGTGACAATTATGTCATCAACATAAACGATCAGAATAGCAATTCTTCCTTTGTCGGAGTGTTTAAAAAATAAAGTGTGATCAGTTTGAGCTTGGGTGAACCCTCTTCCCTTAACAGCTTGAGTAAATTTCCCAAACCATTCTCTGGGAGATTGTTTAAGTCCATAGAGAGACTTCTGCAACTTGCACACAGAACCATCCCCTTTTTCAAAACCAGGAGGTGGATCCATGTAAACTTCCTCATGGAGATCACCATTCAAGAAGGCATTCTTAACATCTAACTGTTGCAATGGCCAATCAAGGTTGGCGGCAAGAGATAGCAGAACGCGGATAGTGTTAAGTTTGGCAACAGGAGCAAATGTCTCCTGATAATCTATCCCATGAGTCTGAGTAAATCCCTTAGCAACTAATCTGGCCGTATACCTATTGATGCTAGTGTCTGCATTGAATTTTATTGTGAACACCCACTTGCAACCAACAGTTTTCTTTCCTTTACGTAATGTCACAAACTCCCATGTTCCATTTTTTGTAAGTGCATCAATTTCTTCTAATACTGCATTCCTCCATTTTGGGTCGTCAAGTGCTTCTTGGATATTTTTGGGTATCTTGGTACTATCTAACATAGTGTTGAAAGCACGAAAACCTGGAGACAACTTTTCATATGAGATATAATGGGAAATAGGATGAGCAGTGCAAGATCTAGTACCTTTCCGAAGAGCAATAGGCATATCAACGTTGGTTGTACTAGTACATTCAAGTGGGTTGCTGGAACAAGGACTCGAGTCAGGGTCCTGGCAGTCTAGAGTATCTTCATGTGTTTTGCGCCTGCTGTAAAATTTTCTCCATTTACCAAGAGGATCACAAGGAGGATCATTAGATTCAGGTATAGTTGCTCCCCCTGTTTCCTTCCCAATAACTCCACCTGTTTCCAAAGGCCAAGGTAAGACAGCAGCATCATTTGGTTTCCCAGGCTTATCTTCATCCATACCAATACCAATAGACTCCCCCTGAAGATAAGTCGGGGAAAAAAAGGATTGTGTCTCATAAAAGGTAACATCCATGGAAACAAAAACCTTACGGAGAGAAGGTGAGTAACACTTATAACCTTTTTGATTAGGGGAATATCCTATGAAGACACATCTGATGGATTTAGGGTCATGTTTGGACCTTTGATGTGGAGGAATATGCACAAAAACCACACAGCCAAATATTTTGGGAGGAAGAGAAGAAAGAGCACTGAAAGAGGGAAAAGATTTAGTAAGACAGGATAAAGGAGAATGAAAATTTAGTACCCGAGAAGGCATCCGATTAATGAGATAACAGGCTGTCAAGACGGCTTCCCCCCACAGATATTTAGGGACATGCATCGTGAATAAAAGAGCTCGAACAACTTCAATTAGATGTCTATTTTTCCTTTCAGCCACCTCATTTTGTTGAGGGGTGTTAGGACAAGAACTTTGATGAATAATTCCATGCTGGTTTAGGTAATCTCCAAGAACTGAATTAAAATATTCAGTACCATTGTCTGTTCGTAGAATTTTGATAGAAGTCTGAAATTGAGTTTGAATCATAGCATGAAAGTTTTTAAAAGTGGATGCTGCCTCAGACTTATCCTTTAAGAGATATACCCAACATACCTTAGAATGATCATCAATGAAAGTAATAAACCAACGAGCACCCGAGACATTTTTTTCACGAGCAGGTCCCCAAATATCACTATGAATCAATGTAAAGGGAGAAGATTCATGATATTTCTTAGGAGAATAAGTGACACGAGAATGCTTTGCAAGCTGACAAATATCACAAAGAAGGGAACTTGGCTTTTTATTGATAAATAAGTTCGGCAATAACTTCTGGAGATAAACAAAATTTGGGTGTCCCAACCTACGATGCCATAACAAAACATCATTACAGTCATCTGATAAACATAGAGAGTGGTTCGAAAAAATCCTCTTTTCACAATGAACATCTGTAAAATAGTAGAGCCCTTCTTCCTCTCTAGCACTGCCAATCATCATCCCCGAGTCCTGTTCTTGAAAGATACAAGCATTTGCAGAGAACTTAGCAACACAATGCAACTCAGCAGTAAGTTTGCTAATAGAGATGAGATTACAAGTAAGAGAGGGAACATGAAGTACTGAGTTCAAAATAATATGCTCAGAAAGTTTAATGGATCCCTTTCCCGCAATAGTGGAGAAATTCCCATCAGCTGTTCTTATTCGTGACGGGTGATAGTAAGGGGTATAGAAGAAAAATAAGGTTGCATTACCTGTCATGTGATCAGAGGCCCCTGAATCAAGGATCCAACGATTACTACGTTCAACATGGAATGCCATACCTTTTTGAGCAACATGACTAGTTGCCTCAGTAGGTTGAGACATCAATTTCTGAAAAGATGAATTTTCAAAATTTTCAGCGTCCATGGTTTTCTAACAACAGGTACCCAGAAAAAAGTTCCTCCAAATACGATTTTGACCCTCAAAACAGGAAGAGGGTTGCTCGCCAAAATCAATGAATGAGAGCAATCTTGGCTACAGTGAAACAGTAATTGCTACAGTAATGAACAGTACTGCTACAGTAATGAACAGTACTGCTACGGGTCTTCTGTGGGCTGGCTCAGAATCTTGTTCTGAACCTAATGGTGGCCTTGGTTTCGTGGTTGGAGGTGTCTAGGTAAGGATTCTAGCTTGGGCAGTGGCTAAAACGAGAAAAAAAGGAATAGGAAAATGACTTAAAAATAAATCAGAACAGGGAAGAGATTGGAATAGAACCAGCTCTGATACCATGAAGAAAAGTAGAAGTGTTTTGTCTGAATAACACTTTCTTGATTCATTGAGAGACCCAATGGGTCCTTTTTATATTGAGTACATCCAACTACCTCAACTACTTTAATAAATATACAACCACCAACTACATAAATATACAACTACCAACTAAATATACAACTACCAACTGCATCAATAAATACTATCTAGAATATTCTACATATTCTACAATTATATTATTTTATGTGCATATAAATATAATTTGTATCCCATGTTACGATTCTACAATCCATGTTATGATTATGCGATTTACGATTTTGGTTCACCCTTCTGAGTTTGCGTTGAATCTCGAGTTTGACAACCTTGCTGCAAACTCATGAGAAAGAAAACACATGAGAATGTACAACCTGCACTTGCAAGTTTCCTGTTGCACCACTTAAAAAGAGAAGAGGTGGCGATAGATTAGAGTGAAGGTAGCAGCAGCTCTCTTCTTGCTGTAGTTTAATTTGATTTGGAATGAGCTGACACTAGGCTATTGTTAGAAATAAAAAATCATTTTTCAGCTTGCACCTAACGATTCATAGTCTTTGGTTACCTCTCCCTGCCCCCTCCCTCCCAACACCAGAAAAAAGAAGCTTTAGGGTTGATTCAATTATTGACACGGTATCAAAGGCCTCAATGATCAATAAGTTAGGAGTCCGACCTTTACTGCTCCATTCTTCTTAATTAGTCGAATTTTCAGCACAAGGTATTGATGGGTTTGTATTTTGTCCATGCTTAAATCCCAAAAGGTTTCTTCGTGAGGCAGTGTGTCAGACATAAAAACCATTCTCTGGGCATGCACCTTATTCCTTAAGCTTTTAGGATAGTGGCTTTCTTTGCGTTATTTCTTTTCAGAAGGACAAGTTTATAAGTCAGCTTGTTCAGATCTTTTCAAGCATGTTCATTTTTTAAATGCACATCAATGACTGCTTGTTTTCCTTTGTCTATAGGCTTTCTTGTTTTGGATGATTCCTTATTCTCCTCCTTGTTGTACTTCACTCTTCTCTCTTTAATAAAATTTATTTTTACATAAAAAATTAGAAAAATTGGTGGCTGCTCTGAATATGTCTTTCCTTTGTGTGATCTGTGATGCATTTACAAATAATGAATATATTTATGAACCTATAATATAATGAGAGACATTTATTGCTTCTATATATTCCATTTGTGTGTGTCTACTGTCTATGCAACTTGTTTACTCCTAAACTGTTTATATAAGTTGTGTCCACTCAAGGTATGTTTCCTTCTGGAAATTTCCAGTCCATTAAAAATACTTACTGGAGAATATCTTTTCTGCAAAAATAAAGATTTTTATTTGATAATTGGTTTAACAGGCCTTTCATGATGCTTTGATGGTCGAAAAGGTTTGCAATGATGATGATTTCTTTATAATGGGTGGTAACTCTCTTTCTGCTGCACATGTTGCTTACAATTTGGGGATTGACTTAAGATTTCTTTACTACTATCCAAGTCCTTTTAAGCTTTGTATGGCTCTTCTCCAGAAAAGAGGATCATGCCCTTTGCACAACAGGTTCGATAATTGTTTGGAATCAAATACAGACAGACAAAATAACCAATTTTCTTCCAATCGTACTGAATATTCTATTCCTCTTGAGTCAAGATTGATTTCCAAAGGTAATGATGATGATAATTCTTTTACATCTAAGCGCTTAAAGAGCGGTTCTGCAGATGTTACATCGGAGGGTGATGAAACATTCCCATGGTATTCCCCTTCAATATTCTTATCATCTTCATTTAGCCGATGCAACAAGGTGTTGTATAAAGGGCAGCATGCAGTAATTGATACAAACCAAATACCTTGGACTGCAAATGTTCCAAGAGGTAGCAGAGGTCATATGAAAGACTTTTGGAAAGTTTACATGGAATCTTGTGTTGATGCTTCACCAGTGCTTGTGTTTAAAGGCTCAGAGATTTATTTGTTCATTGGATCTCACTCACATAAATTTCTCTGCATAAATGCCAGAAGGTAAAAACAAATTGTTATTTATCTAAAGGTTTTAATCCATTGCTTTGGTATTATTGATCTAAAACTAATCAAAATTGTGTTTGAATGCATATTCATTTTATAGTTTAAACTTTAATCTCCAGGTTCTGATGTAAACTTGCAATAATTGCAACAACTCATTTTATTAGTCTTGTATTCACCATTAGTGCACTAGGGATCATGATTATTCCTTGTACTCTTGAAACTTTCTTAGTACAGATTGATGTATGATAAGAATCACAGATAAACATCTGTACAATCTTGATGACCTAGCTTTTGTTAAAAGCATCAAGATGGTATATAATTTTTTTACCAGAAAAAACAAGGAAACTATTTGGTAAATTACTCAATCATATTCATCTGTTTCTCAAGCTGTTAAAATATTCTGAAGGATTGGAGAATTTAACTGTTCTCTCTAAAATTTAATTTGCATAATATGGCTGAGTTATTCTTAAAATGGACATGAATAGACGTCTCTGTCCATTTTGCATCATTCCAATAGTCTAAAATTACTTCAGTGTTTGAGTTGTAGTTACATTTTATATTGCCATGTCCTTCAGTTGTTGTCATATCTATTTGTTATGTAGCTGATAAACAGGAACTTTGGGTTTTGTTTTATGGTTGTTACCAAACCGTTCCTAGACATGTTCTGTGGGGTTAATAATGTAAATCCCTTCAACCACGACACTGGTATTCTCTATTGATGCTAGAACTGTCAAGAGAATTTTTGAATAATTTGGTTTCTAATTTCTATTCTAGCGCTACTAAAACTGCTACTTAATAATTGGTTTAGTGGTTCTGTCCAGTGGGAGATCAAACTAGAAGGACGCATTGAATGTACAGCAGCAATTGTTTCTAATTTTTCTCAGGTTGGCTTTCATTTTAATGCATTAAGTTACTCTAGTGCGATAAGATTATATGATTCTATACATTTGTTCTAACAACTGGCATTTCTGTAGGTGGTTGTTGGATGCTATATGGGAAAAATATATTTTCTTGATTTTTCAAATGGACACATCTGTTGGAGTTTTCAAACATCTGGGGAGGTATGTATCTACTTTTAATGCTGTATCAAACTGCTATCCTTTCTTATTTGAGGTTTTCTGGTGTCTTCCTGAAAACTTTAGGTTTTCTTTAGCCATGGTTTTTTTATTACCACACAGACCCTGTGAAGGGATGTAGTGATTGCTGAAGGATCTGCAAAAATAAACTTAGCAAATGAACTCAACAAAAGAAGAGGAGAAAGGCAACAGGTTATAGATACATACATAGATTGATTGATCAAAGGAGATAGATATATAGAGAAAGAGATTCTGTGAAAAATTGTCAAACCAGAATGCTCTCTTTTCTTGTCTTTTCTTTCTTATTTTCTTTTTTGGCCTGATGTTCTTGTAGAGGATCTGGTGGGCCTGTGCTATTAAAATTAAAAAGATAAGCTCATTGAAATAAACTAAAATATAGATTTTTTTAATTCTTTTATTGAGAAAAGCACATCCACAGTAATATGTACTTCAGTCCATTTGAAATTAGCGTTAACAAAATTTCTTTGGAGAAAAGTTACTTGCACTTGAAGATAATTACATCTCATATACCTGTCATACCATCTTCACTACCTATTTTTATTCACCTCATTTATGTGACTCGATTATAGTTCCACTCCCCCCCCCCCCCCCCCCTTCTTCTTTCTTTCTTTCTCTTTCCCTCCTCTTTTTTTTTTTTTTCGCTGTCAATTTCTAATTGTTTTAAACTCGTGAAGGTAAAATCACAGCCAATTGTGGACAAATGCAGGCAATTGATCTGGTAATTTTTTTATGCTTCTCTTTCAAATATTGTTGAGTGATCACACATACTTTTTATGAAAGTATTTTCATATCATAATTTTCATGGATGTGTTACTTTGTCGTGCATATTTAATCATTTAACGGTTTGCGTTATAGTAAGTATAAGTCAAATCAGAAACTTTTCTTTATAAAAAATGGCATCTAAATTGTTGAGATATATAGTCCTACATTGGTTGTATGTGCAACTAATGTGGAGTTTCTAAGGTCTTGGGCACTCTCACCCTTTGAGCTAGCTTTTGGGGTGGTGTATCCCAAGGTTCTTTACATGGTATCAGAGCCTCGCCGTCCCCCACTTTCTCTTGTGGAGTTTCTTAGCACAGGTAGGCTGGGCCTGTTGCATTGTCCACGCTTCAAGCCCAATGGGCTCTCGTGTGAGGGGGCGTGTTGAGATATATAGTCCCACATTGGTTGTATGTGCAACTAATGTGGAGTTTATAAGGTTTTGGGCACTCCCACCCTTTGAGCTAGCTTTTGAGGTGGTGTATCCCAAGGTTCTTTACATAAATCTCCATTCTACATAGGACCCTTGCAGGTAGGATGAATGTGTAAGATTGTTCCTTTACAGGACTGCTGCTTTGTGCGAGTCAATCTTTGAAATAGTTATCTTTGGCATTTGGTATAGTTAAGAAGAATAGAAGAGAAGAGACTTCTGGAATGGTTATAGCTTGACATATTTGTTTTACTTTGACCTCTGCTCAGTTTTATTAGGTGAAGCTACATTAATGGTTTTTATACTTCTCTAACACGTCCCATCACATAAGAGTTCACCGGACTTGAAGGGTGGACAATGCATATGCTCACCTACCTGTGCTAAGAAACTCCACAAAACTTAATTAATTATTAACTAAATGGGGGGCGGTGAGGATCGAACCCGTGACACCGAGGCTCTGATACCATGTAAAGAATCAATTCAACCCAAAAGAGTTGAATTGGTTCTTTACATGGTATCAGAGCCAATGGTGAGATTGGCCGGTTTGTGGTGATCGGGGGAAAGATGTGGGCCTAAGACTCACACTTGAGGGGGAGATGTTGAGGAATCTAAATGTAAATGATTGAATGTAGTCCTACATTGGTTGAAAAAGGACTAAGTGAGCATCATATAAGTGGAAGGACCCATGTACCTAATACATTAAGGTTTTGGGTTTGATTGTGATGTTCCAAGCCCACTTAATGTTACTGTTCACTTGGTCCATGGTTGGCGGTCTTCCCCCGCCATAAGCTCTCCCTGCAGGCCCAACATGTGGTATCAGAACCTCAGTATCACGGGTTCGATTCTCACCGCCCCCGTTTAATTAATAAAAAAAATTAAGTATTGTGGAGTTTGTTAAGCACAGGTAAATGGACCTGTGCATTGTCCACCCTTCAAACCCCGTGAGGGGGCGTGTTAGATATATATAAAACCATTAAAGAGACATTCACTTAACAGCTTAAGCTTTTGGGTTGAATTGGTTCTTTATATAGATAATAGAATCAGATTATTCACAGCAAACCATAGCATATCAGGGTTTTCTCTCAATGTTAAATAGGTATGTTACATGTACCTTATTGAAAACTAAGAACGTTTTCCGCATGCTTTAATAATTATACAGGTGCGGCTCACATGATCATAACTTATATGCTCTTGATTACAAAAATCATTGCTGTGTCTATAAGCTACCCTGTGGAGGCAGTATATATGGCTCACCTGCAATTGATGAGGTGCATTTTCTCTTCTAAATAACATAATAATTATATATTGGTTAGTTAAAAGATTACTACTGAGTTCTTATTCTCTTGTACTAATTTTTCGTGTAGGTTCGTGGCTCGCTTTATGTGGCCTCTACTGGTGGTCGTATAACAGCTGTATCAATATCGGTATGTTGAATTCATAATTCTATTAATATAAATGCAAAAGTGTTTGTTTCTTTTAGTGGAGGGCTTCAATTCTGTATTGATATAAAGTGCCCCGTTTACAGATACCCAAATGAGCCTCTGGATTTAGTTTCTTGTGGAAATCTTCTATTTGAAATGTCAACTTCTTCCCCCTAGATTCAAACTGACAATTATGTTTATCAAACTCCATTAACTATGATATTTAATGTTTATCAAACTGACAATTGTTAAAGATCCATAAGAGGAAAGAACACAAAAAAGAAAAAGAAAAAAGAATAGAATTAAATAATACAAATTGAAGAAAAGCAAGGAGTTTTTCATGACCAGAGCGTTACATGGGGAGAGTAGGGGGGGATCAACTAAATGTATGATGACTGTGGAATAAACATGTTTGAAATTGTAAAAGAGGTCTGGATAATGAATTGTATTATAATAATGAGAGGTTACAATATATATAGACACCACATGTATGTTAAATAAGTAAAAAGATCACTCCTCATAAAGAAGAAATAAAAAACTGATTCTAAACTGATTTTAATAGATTCTAGAAAGGAATTAGGAATTTGACAATGTCTCTAATATACGGACAGTAATTTTTCTGATTTTCTGCAAAACAGTTAAACTAACTGTTAACCTTTGGACTGACATCTAGATAAACAGTTAATGAATTCGGAATTAGGCATTTGTTGCTGTGCCAGTGTTCGCAACTTGAGTTATTTCGTCGACTTTGATTTGTAGGCAATCTGGTATAAATAAGCACATGTTTGGGTTTGCTTGGTTTTGTACGTGAAACTGCGTTTCAACCAAAAGCTCTAGTAATGTAATAAGAATAAAATGGTAAATCCCGGTGCACAAGGCTCCCCAACTTGCGAGGGTAGGGATGAGGGTCAATTGTATGTAGTTTTACCCTTATATATTTGCAAAGAGACTATTTCCGAGACTCAAACCTAGGACTTTTCAGTTACAAGAAGCAACCTTATCGCTGCTCCAAGGTTCACCTTCTATGGACACAAAATTATAAAAAGGAAAAAAAGAAATGATCGAAGTTGCTTAGCATTGCCCTAGATAATAATACTTCGATTTAACATTAGATGCATTAATCCGTTACTCTTGCTGAATGTTTTTCAAGTCAATTTAGCTATTGGTCCAAGTCAGAATGAAAAATTCCTTTGCTGAACAGGCTTCTCCCTTTAATATATTGTGGCTCCACGAGTTAGAAGTCCCTGTGTTTGGTTCTCTGGCTGTCACCCAAAATGGAACAGGTATGAAATTGTTCACTTTGCCTTTTATGTTATATGTCTTTCTGATTACTTACGCCTTGTGTAAATTTTTCTCCTTATACCAGTATACTTTTTTTTTCCTGTTCGTTGCAGTAATATGTTGCTTGGTAGATGGCCATGTGCTTGCATTGGATCCGAATGGATCCATTGTTTGGAAAGTACGAAGTTTAAACCTCATCATGGTTGCAATTCTAAATTATGTTCCCTGATGGAAGTAATTTTAACCTGCCTTGTTGATGATTTTTGCTCAGAAAACAACTGATGGTCCAATATTTGCTGGGCCATGCATACCTTCTGCTCTTCCTCATGAGGTACATCATTCTCTTCATGGATTTTGCAAAGCTGATTCTTAATTATTATTTTTTCTTTTTAAATGAAATCAATCCTTTCCACTTACCTTGTCACATTCTTTTGCCAAGATCAATAAAAGATTGTGAAAATTGATGTTGGTTTCTGTTTAGGATATACCTTGGTAATAACAAATATGGAAAGTGCTTTGGGTTCACTTAATTAGTTACTTGTAGTGCAACCAAATTAAAGGTTACTTTTGTCTTTGTGAAGTCTCGGTATTAGTATAAAATATTGGGTCGACCTATGTATTACAATCTTTTTAAATAATTAGTGAAAGATTTCTTTATATCAGTAATTTTTTGTTTATGCCACCTTAGGTGTTTGTATGCTCCAGAAATGGAAGTGTGTACTCGTTCAAACAGGTGAGAACTGGCAGATAAACTTATTTCCTTTTTTTTCTTTAATCATCTTTTTGGTGGATTTTAATTTTTATTATATTAGATTCATGATCAGCCACTCTTTTACTTTACAATGTTTATATTCCCTGTCTTAGATCAAAGTTAATTGCTGGATCTAAGTCTTTGTTTATATGCTGCTTGAGTGCGTGGTATTGGCAGTGGTTTTTAATAGCTTTAGCGTTTTCTCTGATGTGTTTTCTTAATAGCTTTAGCATTACATATTATTATGGCGTGTATTTTCAATAAACAAGATCAGATTGGAGACAACACGGCTTGAAATCTTTTATTGCTAATGAGTAATGACTATTCTACGTTCCACTCCCACCTTTCTCTCTTCTTCAAGTAAGTTCATATCCATCTGTTGTTGGCAATTGCTGACAGAGTCACTTGATGTGTTCCTACCTAACTAGTTCTAATATGAAGCTTGTTAATTGACATGTATCAGTTCTTGTCCTGCAAAAGTATATATATTCACTATGCCTTTGAATATGTACCAGGGATACCATTAAAAATCTATTGTAAATTGATGATGCCTTAAATCTGACAGCTTACAAAATGAATTTTTCAGTGTGAATTTGACAAACATCTATTCTATGTTCCAGCACTTTAAAACATGCACAAGATTGTCCTTAAATGTAACTAATTTGAATGTTAGCTTACTTATTTTTAATAATATTAGGTGAACTTCGTGGAAGTTTTCTTTTTTAACCCTTGAAATATTTTCTGTATTAATTAAATACCAAACTTGATGAATTCATTGTGAAAGATCAACTATTGTTAAATCGTTGTCCCATGTAAGAATGTGCAGTGCCCAAAATGATTAGTTTGGCTTGATATTTGGTTTGTTCCATATGTTGGATTAACACCAGGAGAAGGGGGATCTACTTTGGAAATACAACGTTGGAGATCCAATTACTGCATCTGCTTATGTTGATGAGCACTTGCAGCTGGATTCTGATGACTCCCATTCTTCAGACAGGTTAACCTCGTTGGTTGGTTGATTTTTTTTAAGGGAAAACTTCAATTACCCCCCTGTTAAGTTTGCTCATAATCACTTACCCCCTTCTCCAAAAATTTTAATCATTTACACCCTCATCTAAATTTTTTTATCACTTACCCCCTTATTTTCATTTTCCATCCAAAACTAAAGTTAACTCTGTTAACTTTTTAAAAAAATACCACAAGTACCCTTATAATAAAAAAAACACTCAATGTGAGTGTTTTCTGCGTGCACAAAGTCGCTGGTTTTGCATTTTCTGTTGCTATTGAAACACTTAATAGTGAATACAAAAAAAAAAGAAAAACAAGACAGTTGACATGATATTTAAGGTGAAATTGTTGTAGTCTATAATCTATCAACAACTCACGTATAGTGCTTGTAAGAGTAAATTTGGATAATAAAATGGCACCACAAGACAGAAGGTAGAGCATGTTGACATGATTTCTAATGGCCAAAACCACAAAAGGATAACATTTTTAATAACAATTGAATCTCCAGAGCATGAAAATATAGATTCTGAAATGGTAGAGCATGTTCTGCATCAAGTCTCTTCAAAAAATCTCCATATAGATGTAATACACATTCACATTCTGTTAAACTACTATACTGCTTGGAAATATCCACAATACAATACTGCAGCTTCAAAAAATATGGACAGCAAGCAGCATAAAAAAATCTCCTTTCGAGCATATTAACCTCAAAAAAAAAAAAATCTAGACAACAACCACAATCTTCAAATCAATGAATCTTCATTAGGTGCTAAGGGGACTGATATGTTTTCCTCCTCTTGTAGCCATCTATCAATCCAAGAGACCATTCAATTAAGAACACATAAATAACAAATTATAATTAAATAGGAAAAAGTCATTACCTTTTGCCTATTCGTAGAAGGTTGAGATATTGATTGTGATTGCTCATTTTGACATCGAGCCATCCTTTGACTTGGTGTTTCTCCAATGACAGATGCCTTACAATTTCGTGCATTATGTCCCTCAGCACGACAATTTCCACATCTGATAGGTTTGTTTATTCTTGTATTCTTGTATGGGTTTCTAGGCTCATCAGCTTGTCTTCGCCTCAAAATCTTAGGTCTACCAGGTGGCCTTTTTATAACAGGTGCCGCAACAGTCGGTTCACTCTTGGCAAGATATTCATCAAGGTCAGGAAATGGTTTAATAGGAGTTGAATATACCTTCATATATGTTTCTGTTGTGAAGCAAATATCAACAAAGTCTTCAGGCACCCTTCTCCAATATCTGATTGCTGCAATACCATGGATGCAAGGTATTCCTGTTAACCTCCAAACTCTACAGCTACAACATTTTTTTTCAATATCAGTGGAGAATGACTTCCCACGGCATGTAACTTCAACAACATTTTGTGAAGAAGGACTGACAACACAATCTCTTGACATTGTTTTTAGTTTTTCAAGCCTTTCTTGGATTTTTGGTGTAATTGGACCAATGTATTGCTCCATCTTAGTCTTTCTATCATACAAACTTTTCATTAGCTTCTTCCGAATCCAATCAATCATTGAAATTATAGGCAATTCCCTCGCTTGTACAATGCGAGAATTGAAAGATTCACTAATGCTGTTAACCAATAAATCACTTTTTGCCTTGAAACTAAAATGAGACCGAGACCATTTGTTTGGGTTTAGACGCTTCAAATAATCGTGAGCTTTCCCATCATCAACATTCTGCAGTTTCTTCATAGCAGTCTCAAAACCATTTTCAGTTGTTGCATATGCAGCTTGCCATAATAAGTCAGTGTATAATTTTCCCTTGAATTGCTTCTTATAATTGTCAAGTAAGTGGTTTAGACAATACCTATGCTCGGTGTGAGGAAGAAGGTCAGCAAATGATTGAAGTAGTCCCTGTAAAAAAAAAAAAAAAATCAACTTTAAAATAAAATAGCAAAAAAAGAAAAACAACATAAATAGTAAATAAAATAGCAAAAATAACCTTAAATTAACCTTTTGCATATCCGACATAAAGACTAAGTTCGCTGGATCAATGCCATCTAATGCATTCAAAAGTGAAGTCAAGAACCAACTCCAACTATCCTTATTTTCAGCTTCAACGACAGCTATCGCAATCGGGAACATGCCATTATTTCCATCGTGTGCTATAGCACTTAAAAGATGCCCTCCAAAATGTGTCTTCAAAAAACAACCATCAAGACCAATTAATGGCCTACAACCTGCCGTGAAACCGGCAATCATTGCATGAAAACTCACAAACAATCTTTGAAATCTAGGGAGCAATTCTTTCACAAACCCATTAATCATCACTGGAGGTTGTGGTTCAGTATGTAGCTTAACGAAACTTCCCGGATTTGTACTTAGAATAATTTCAGAATATGCACGACTAACTTCAAATTGCCGAGCATGATCCCCAAATATGGTCTTCTTTGCTTTCTTCCTTGCTCGGTACAGTCGTTGAATCCCTACATCATATCCAACATTTTTACTTACTCTATTTCTCAATCCACTCATTTCTTCCTTCGGGTTTGATCTGAAATCCTCCAATAATTTTTTTGATAAGTACTTGGAAGTAATGAGGCTATTTGTAGCTTGTCTAGGACATGTGTGGATGGGGTTCCATGTTTTAATTTGAAAAGTGCTCTCTCCACCAACCACCGAAGCATGTACTAAGAATGGACACTTTTTGGAAACCTTACAAATTGCTCTTACTCTGCTTCTTTCATTTTTCACACATGTATATTCATATCCACGAGAAATAGACCACTCCTTCAATGTATCTCGAAATTTGTAAACATCACTAAACTGCATTCCATGTGTCAATTCAATTTTACCCTCATCGGTGTCTTCATTTATAATTTCATTCATTTTGTCCTCAACCAATGCCTCACCGTCGAATATATCATCTCCAAAGTCAGCCCCATCATCAACTGCACTCCAATCCTTTCCACCATCTTCAAACTCAGCTCCATCATAGCCATCTATTGCAAACTCAGCTCCATCATAGTCATCCCCATCATCTTCAAGCACTGCTACGTCATAGTTAGCCCCATCATCTTCAAACATAGCTCCATCATAGTCAGCCCCATTATCTTCAAATACAGCTTCATCATCAAATATAGAAGGTAATGATGGAAGACCTACATCATAATCATCCATTGTAACCTGCATACCAAGAAATAGCTTCTATAGGGCTCCAAAATTAAATTCGTATTGTGTCTTTGCACCTAAATAAACAACTTTAAAAATAAATTTTCTTTTTGCCAGGTATGGCATGAATTTTCTTTTTGTCTACAAGTAAGCATTGATTAGGTTGTAGAGTGGCATGTCCTAACAGTTAGGATCTTGTGGACAGACATTGGCCTAAAATTAAATTCATATTGTGCTAATGATGGCCTACTAAATTTGTTCTCAGATTTGGAAATTTACAACAAAAATAATCAACTTTAACATTCACTACATAAAGTAAAAAAATTATCTATCCCAGTCAAAATCATCAACATCAAATTTGAGAAAGATAACGTAGGAAACAAGTCCTTTTAAATAGAACTACTATATTGGACAAAGATGGAACTTTTAAAGGTAACCAAACGCAAAAAAAAAAAAAAAAAACAAAAACAAAAAAAAAAACAAAAATCATGAAATGGGAACTTGGAACTCACGGGGCGTTGGTGTTCGTAGTTGGCAGAGAAGAAAATTGGGAACTTACATGAAATGGGAACTTGCAAGGAGCTTCGATTTAGGGTAAGTGTGTTAAAGAAGAAAATTGGAAAAAGAAAGTTTTGGAGCGAGCGAAAAATTTTGGAACCCAGACTCTGGTCTATTAGTTGTTTTCTGATTTTAAGGGTAGATGTGATATTTTTTTTAAAGTTAACAGAGTTAAGTTTACTTTTGGATGGAAAATGAAAATAGGGGGGTAAGTGATAAAAAAAATTTAGATGAGGGTGTAAATGATTAAATTTTTTGGAGAGGGGGGTAAATGATTCTGAGCAAACTTATAGGGGGGTAATTGAAGTTTTCCCTTTTTTTAATTAAAGGGGAAAATGCGTCTTATCAGCTATCAATTTCTAACCTTTTAAAAAAAATTCTTTTTTTCTTTTTTAGGTTAATTTGCATATGTTCTAGTTCTGGTGGCATACACCTTCTTCGAGTGAACGTGAATTTCTCCGAAGATGAAAATGGACGAACAACTGATGTGCAAGAATTTGCAAGGCTAAAGTTGCCGGGGGATATATTCTCTTCGCCTTTGATGATTGGTGGCCGGATTTTCGTTGGTTGTCGGGATGATTACTTGCACTGCGTTGCCCTTGAAATTCCAAAGCAACATGAAAGTTAAAGCTAATGTAGTTGAAATTTTGTTGAACTCTATTAGGATTTAGGTGGATTGATTCTGTGCTTAAGGTCTGAAATATATGAAATTCAAGGCATGTATAGGCTAACTCAAGCTAAATGTGCTCCTACTAACTTTAGGAGCTCAAATAATGAAAAAAATAATAATTGAATGAAAAGGCGTAAGATGTAGATAATGGTAAGTTATAAAAATATTTGCTATCAGATTTGATTAAGGAACAAGATTTTATCTCACGTTTAGGTTCTCTAGAAAAGATAAGGATGATTTTAACTTCTTAAATTAGTTATTAGGTGGATAATATGGTTGCCATTTTAGTTCAGAAAAAAAAAATTCTCATACTTAAGCAGACATAATAAAAAAAAAAAAAAAGAATATTTTTAATCTGAAGGATCAATTTAATACATGGACAAACATGGGTGAAAATTTTGAAAGATTTTTTAATACAATTTAGCAAATCAATTTGAAATGAATTTTTAACAGTTATTTTTAATTCCCTAACAAACATAATGTTTTAATTAGCCATTTCTCAATTACTTGGAAATAAATGTTTTCCGTAGTGATTTGGCATGCGGAGTGCTACCCCACCATCTTGTTCATTTTAAAATCCTACCAGTTTTAGTTAATATTTAAATAAAAAAAATTCTCTATCTCCAACGTATATCATTTTTAAGTGTTAACCCGGTTGTTTATAAAAAAAAAAAAAGTGTTAACCCTATTTAAGAGTGTAAATAGATTGGGTTGGATTAGATTTTAACACAAATAGACCAGGTCTCCCTAGAATACTTTAGGCCTATACTGACTTTGTTTATATTTAAAAAATAAAAAATTTAGTTTAGATCTATTTAAGCCTATTAGACATTTAATAATTAAAAAAAATTAAAATAATAATTTATTTTATTTAAAATAAATAATATTATATAGACTGACTTGTAGATTTATAAGCTCTGAAAAAGAGTTTATGGTTTGCTTTCTAAATAAATTTTTTTTGAAGCATGACTTTATCCTGTTTGGCTATATGTCATAAGTCGAGCTTAACTTGATATAGGTCGAGTCATGTACCCTTATTATTTCGGCTAGCCCATTTATTCCTCGTGTTTTAATAGAAACTGTAGGAATTAGGAGACTTTCAAATGAGGATGACACATACAATGAACTACTCTATAGTTTAAATATTAAGCAATTACATATTTAAAAAAAAAAACAGCTGTTAGAGAGAGATTTCTATAACTAATTTGAAATTTAAGATGACCATTTCAGTGCTATGAAAGCATATAATTTACAAAATCTATTGTGTCTTATATACATCTCTATTTAAGTGCACAGATATTTTTTTTAACAAATATTTTGTTTTTAGAAAAGAAAAAGATTATATTTACTACCAAATAGTTTACCACCTCTTTTATATCGTTGGATAATGGTCAGAAAAATATAATGAAAGGAGAAAAGTGAGAGAGAAAGCGGGGGAAGTGGTTGAAGAGAAAAAAAAAATTGTATCAGATGATATCCTTTGATTTAACTTCATCCGAAGAGATAGTAAAGTATACCATGTCCTTATAGAAAATATATAATAAAACTACCCATTATTATTATTTTTAAAAAAAATTAAAATTGTTGTTGTTCGTTGCTTTGTATGGGCTGAGTTGAATTGTGGGTGGGTCATGAAGCCCGAACCGGTCATTTGATTTTGACTCTCTCTGTTCTCACTTCTCACAGCACATCACAACACAAACACACGACGCATGAAAGGGCTTGCGGTGTCAGTGCCGGTGTCAGGTTGCTGCTGAGATTGTTGTGTTGTGAGGGAAGCTTACCAGGTTGATGCGACTTCCTGTTCCCTTTTTCGCTTTGAATTTTTAGTCTATTCCTGTTTGTCATGCATTGTCGTACTTTTTCTTTTTTGGTTTTTTTTTTTTTTTTAATTCCCACGACTCCGTTAATTTTTATTTTTAGTTTTCTTTTTTTGTATAAAAAATTGAATCTGTGGTGGGGTTTCCGAGATTTTGCGAACAGAAATCATGGGTTGTGTTCTTCCTTGTACATGTTTGAGAACATGTTTTGTTTAATTTAGGATTCAGTTCGAAACTTCTGTTCCTTTCCCTTCCTGGGAATCACTAGTCAAGTTAGTCCCTTTCTTTACAATATTGTCCTAAATCTTCCTTGTCTTTCTGGATTTAAATGTGTTGCTTAGTTTTTCTTCAGTAGGAATGGTCTCTATGATTGTTACAAGCAATTCTCTCTCTCTCTCTCTCTCTAAGTGATTGCGTTTTTTTTCTTGTCTGTGTATGTGCATGGTGATCACAGTATGTATGAATTTGTGATGGTAGGTTCCCTAATATGGTGGATATTGTACCTGGTAACATGTGAATACTGGGAAATATGATTATTTTTAACATATTTATTGTATGGTACAGAGATGTGGTCATTGGTCTTAAATTACCTATGGCTATGATTAGACATTATGCATTAGATGCATGTAAGGAATTTTCCCTTTTGCATTGATATAGTATACAACTTCAGTTAATTATATAATGTCCTTTAAAGGGGTTTTAGTTTACCAATTTGAAGGTTTTTAATGAGTAAGCTGAAACTCCTGTTTGAATTATGGATATTTAAGATCATTGTTGAAATCTCTGGGTGATGGCATGCTCAGAACCTGTAAGTGCAGAAGGGGAGACTATGTCAGTGGATGCTGTCCCTAGGAAGCCTCGGATTCTACTTGCTGCTAGTGGGAGCGTTGCTGCTATCAAATTTGCAAATCTTTGTCATTGTTTCTCTGAATGGGCAGAAGTAAGAGCAGTTGCCACAAGTTCATCTTTGCATTTTATTGACAGGAAATCAATTCCTAAGGATGTGATTTTATATACGGATGAGGATGAATGGTCTAGTTGGAAAAAACTAGGCGATGGCGTGCTTCACATTGAGCTTCGGAGATGGGCTGATATAATGGTCATTGCTCCATTATCGGCAAACACTCTTGCCAAGGTAATTAAATTGATAATTGTTGGCAGATTTTTTCTCATCTCCATAGTTACATGATAAAATCATGACTTATATTTCACTGCACAATAAATTAAACAGCCTGGCTTTTCTATGACTTACCTGTTTGTACAGTTTGGGCAAGTTCGCAAGATAATACATGTTCTTATGAATCATATGATGTTCAGTTTTTGTGTGTACATCTTTATATAGGGTTACTGATAAATGCATGTTTCTATTATATTTCTTAAGTAGTTGGCAATTGCCACTTTATTCCTTCTCATAATTTAAATGTATGCTGTTGTAGATTGCTCTAGGATTGTGTGACAATCTACTGACGTGTATTGTGCGAGCCTGGGACTACAGCAAGCCGATGTTTGTTGCACCAGCCATGAACACTTTTATGTGGAACAATCCTTTTACAGAGCGGCATCTCATCTCCATTGAGGATCTCGGCGTTTCTCTTATCCCACCTGTTACAAAGAGGTTAGCTTGTGGGGATTATGGCAATGGTGCTATGGCTGAACCTTCTACCATTTATTCAACTGTAAGACTCTTTTTTGAATCAAAGGCTCAGCAGGGTAATGGTGATATTTAACAATGTTAACAATCTTACAAGTATGAATTACATACTCGGAGTTATCTTGAACCCTTGATCTTATTTTGTTGCATTATAGTTTTTTGCATTTGTTTTTCCCTTACAATGTAGAGTCTGATCGTAGGTGGTGTGTATTACTATGGAGGGAATATGTTGCTATCTCCTTTATGTCTCGTAGAGTGATGCTTGTATACCTCCTTAATCATAGTATTATGTGTGTAGCCTCTTGTACTTGCTTTGGATATGTACTCATGGAGCATCATTGAATATGAAATTTTAGCAAACACGAGTTTGTTTCCCTATCTGTAAAATGACCTCAAAATACTCGAACAAATTTTTAGTTTTCCTGTTAGTATAAATGTAGGTGCTACTTAGGTCAGTGTTGTGGATCACAATTTTTCAGTGTCTCGGGGAATATATTTTCTTCTGTGAAAACTAATGTTATGCATCAGAAAGTGCTGAATGCAAGCTTGATAAATTCTAATGTTATGCTATATGTTCTGACCATTTGTAAACAATGATCAAATGGTGCTGATGAGCAATGATGGACATGTCAATTGATGAGAAGGGTGAGTTAGAGTGTATAGTAGATAACTTTAAATGCACGAAACTATAAATGGTAGAAAGTGAGAAGCTCCCACGAAATGATTTTTTTCAAAGTCAATTTTGTGCATATTAAGGTATCCCTAGCTAATTTTTTTAATAGATTATTGTACAGAGCCAGTAAAAGAATAATAAGTGCTTTATTATAGTTGTGATTGCATGTGCAATGATTTGGAGTGCAACAATTCAACCTCTTATGAAATAGGTGATCCAGTTTTGAATGAAGAAATATGAAAAGATAAAAAGAGTATTCATGGGCATTGAGAAAAAGAACCCTCGGGTGTATCACTCGAGGGAGCAAATTTACATCCCTCATCAATTGTTAATTTTTACGGCAATTTTCCCAAATCAATTAACACGATTACTTACAAAAAAAAAAATTGCATATCACCCTATAAAATAAATGAACGATATTATTTGTGAATTAACCGTTAAGAAAATTTCGGTTTTTTCAGACGTATAAGCTACCAGATTAGCAGAAAAGCTATTAAGGACATGTTAGGCCTTTTTTTATTTAAATTTTAAGAGTTGCTTTAAAGTTAGATTTAAAATTAAGAATTTCAAAAAAAAAAATATATGAGTTTCAAAATAAAGTCAAAATTATTTCCTAATTGTTATTTTTTAAGCTTAAAAGTTAAAATTCAGAACTTGTTTGACACTTTTTTTTTCAAACTAAAAGTTATTTTTAACCCAAAGTTAAAAAAAAAAAATTAAAAAATAAAGTTAAAAGTTGTGTGATAATTATGTAAAGTTATTATTAAGATTTTGAAGGGAGAGAAATGGAATGATTTGTAATTAGGGTAAATAATTAAAGTAAATAATAAAATTTATAAATAAAAATTTAGAAATGTTTACCAAAAAAAATTTAGAACAATAATAAAATTAAAAATAAATATGAAAATTTCAAAAAACATGACATATATTTTATAATAAGAGCTTTTATAAAATTATATTTAGCTAAATTTCTGATTATAATAAGAAGAAGAGAAGTCAGAATCTTCTTCTACAAACATCAAAAAAAGTAAAAAGTGCTGTTATAAGTTGGCTAGGAAAATCAAGTCAAACACCTACAGAAATGACTAATGATATGCCAAAAGCTATAAATTTAAAAAGAATATCGTTGTAAGTTGGTTGGAAAACTCAATTCAAACACCTATAAAAATTCCGCTACAAAGTAAGATTATTTATTAGGTTTCATCTTGCGGATAGGATATGATAAGAATTAATATAATAAGAGAGTTAGATAAGAATTGGAAAGAATATGAGACTATTTGTGTTTGTGGCGATCCATATAATATCATAATATGATATAAAACAAAAATATCATTTTTAATATAATTTCATATATTTTTTAAAATCGATTTTAAAATTATTTTTTTTACTAATTTACACATTAATCCTTATTTTTAAATGCTACAAAATGTTAAAAGCCAATTTTAAATAAAATATATTAATTACATAAATAACTTACAAAAAATTATATCATCAACAAATAAATTTTTAAAAATTAAGTTTTAAATTAATTATCAATATTGATTATTGATAGCTATTGATAATGGTCGCCGGTGGTGGTGGTGGCAGTTGTGGAGGCTAGTGGTAATAAGTGGTAGTGACGATGTCCTCAATAGCCAATGACAATTATGATGACTGGTGGTTGGGTGTGGCAGTGGTTAATGCTATAATGGCAAATGGGGGTGACTAGTAGGAATGGTGGTGGTGGCGGTAATGGTTGATGCCTGGTGATTATGGATGACAATGGCTTGAGTTGGTCGGGGTGGCCAATGGCAACAACAACAATGATGGAGGTGGTTGGTGCGATCGTGGCATGTGGAAGTGGTGTGACGGCGGCACCAGCAATGACTGATGACAATTGTTATGGCTGATTAATGGTGGTGGGGTTGATTGTTGGTACCTGTTGGCGTGTAAACCCTTGATTAACGTAAGTGCACGTTATCAACAAGTAATAAAGGATTATGACTCCAGATATTGTTCCCACGAAGATGATTTATGAAGTGTGATTATTTAAGTAAAGTATTAGGGAAAATAACTGATTTTTATGGTTTCTTTATAAAATAAAAGGCAAATAAACGAAAACTAATTAAACTAATGAAAACAACAAGTTAAACTAATAGATTGAAATAATGGATGTGAGGTATAGGTTAGGGTCAATTTTTCCAATAATGTGTTGACAATGATGCTATAATAATTGTAACACCTCGTGTGCACCCGGTGTATTAAACATATAAATGATAATAAGTGCAACTCAATAAATGCGAGGGCTAAAATTTCTAATTATGAACCTTATCATATTAACTCATGATTCTTTTTCAAAATCCGCCTATATGTAAATTGCAATAAATAACTAAACTGAATAACCTCATAACATAATTAAGTATCAAGTCATGGAACTACAACATGTAGACAAGACAAATCCTGATACAATAATACAACTCAGTCAGAAATAAGACAGCTTATTCAAATGTGGCATGGACAACCCCTATGTTCACCAAATAAAACAACATCGCCAAAACATGTCTCAACTACAAAAGCTATAAAATAATAACAAGGCAGAATCATATCAAAATATGGTAATAAAGAAGCATGCATAATCTCAGCTCATCTCCGACCTCCTGCCACTAGAGGTCTCAACCTCAGAGGTACCTGTACCTGAAAACGTGCCCACACGGGATGAGATCTCTAACAAGAAATCTCAGTAAGACAAGGGCTCCTCAATGATCTCTCCACTCCAAGCTCACTTACATGTGCAATATAAGTTCAAAAGGATAATAACTGTATAATGGCAAATATCCATGCAATGCAGTATATGTCTATGTCATGTGTGTACGCATCCTACTGCCAGAGAATAAAAGGTAGGAATTACGCACTTCTGCAACCCACAGTACAAGGCTCCTCCCCTATACCTCACCTACGGAGTTACCATCTCGTACGTGCCTCACATATCAAGGATTACCATCTAGTGTGGAACACCCCACATACATAACATATGACATTTGCACTCATAAAATAGCTCAACAACATATCAAATATTCTTCACATATTTTCAGAAAACACATCATGCATATAAACCATCCCTACATGAGGTACGGTGGAACCATTAATAGGTAAAATCGAGGACACGAAAACTTACCTGTCAAGCTAGTAATACCAACTAGAAGTCCACCCAAGGTAAACAAGTCACCAAACAGCACAATCACAGTCTGTTTATACCAGAAATATCATTAATATTCATAGTCTAGAAGTTCATTGCATTAGGACAACGTTTCCTTTTTCATTTAATGATCGTAGGCTTCTCTCAAAGCCATAAGCATTCAATACATTGGTTCTAACTTAGTTAATTTATTACAGAGGTTCATACTAACCAATTAAGGGTCCAGAAACCTAACTTATGCTTCTATTTGGACAAAAGACTAAAAACATGAATTTTCCAGAATATGCGGATATTCCTAGGGGACATATACATATATCAATATCCGGATATCATAGGGTCAATATCCCAAAATTCATATCCGGATATCACAGACCCAATATCTGGATATCCATATCAGGATATTTCGCGACAGAAAGCAATTTTACATTTTCGCAAAGTTATCCCTTCAAGTTTCCATTTTTAACACTTACAGACATTCAAACTACCATTTTTAAGCACATTTAAGCTAGTGATCATGTTGGTTAATTATTCTTCTCATTTAACATGCCAAGACTCAATCTTTTACATAGAAACTTAAGAACAAAGGTAGTAGTGCATACCCAATGGCTCGAAACAGAATAAAGGAAGTGTCTTGGAGCTCTCTACACCACCCCACAGCTCTGCCTCAACAAGGCCACGAATTTGGGTCACAAGCTAGGTCCTTTCCTTCACAAAATGGATTCTTAAAGCACCAAATGCAAGAAAAATGGCTTCCACTCCCTCACACCAAGAAGTCAGCCAACTAACTTCTCAAAACAGTGGCTACAACCCACAAAGATGATGTCTTTCTCCCTCACAAGGCTTCCTCTCAAGAGTTTACAAGGTGGAAGAGGAAGAATAAAAGTAAAAATGGTGTCTTTGGGGTTTTTCTTGCAAAGAAGGCTATGAAAACTATAGGAGAGTATTTTGGTCAGCCATGAAGAATGGAGAACACTATGTAGGCTTGTAAAATTTGACCTAGGGTTATGTGCATTTCCTATTTATAGGTGCACTTACTTAATCCATCGATATTAGTTCTAATAGCTCCACTATTTATGTTACTCCCAAACTTCATATTCTTAATCTAGACATTTTTTCAAGAATTATCATATTTTTATTATAATTTTTCAGAACACTTCTCCAGTACGCATTTTATATCGCGAAGCAAAACCGATATCTGCACTTTTAATCAGAAAAGCGACTTTAAACATTATTTGACTTTCTAAATAATTATCTTACCTTAATTATGCATAGTCTTTATCAAATCCATGCTCCGACATCGATAATGTTATTTTATTAATTATTTAGCAGTGCAAATTCTTACAATAATGCTCTATCAATGCTTAATTAGTAACCGAACACTACTTTATATAGGGACTCTCGCCAATCTTACATATATACCTACACTTGACCCCCATATCTCTATACAAAAGTTAACTATTGAATTCAATTAATTACAAGTTCCAAGGCTATATGGTATGAATTATTTCTCTACCTACAACTTAATTAAATTCTTTGATTTAATTAATCCACACTACTCAACAAGGGTATGGATTTAGAAACCTCTATGCCTTAGCCTCCTCTATATCATATATGTATCTCTCGGCTTGCACACATGAATGAAATAAATCAAACTTGTTGAATAAATAATTAAACATTCATAAAAACTAAGTTTAGGCATTCATTACACTATTACATCATAGGTACTCTATCACTCAACGTAAGAAAATATTTAGCTCATGGTAAAATAAAAGAAAACAAAGAAGAAAAAGAATAAACCCATGGAAAGACTGAAAAGATAACAAGAACAAGCTATCCTAAGACTTCGCGCGCAGTTCTGCTCCAGCAATGCTCAGCTCTTCTTCCTCCTAAAATCTCTTTATAGGGCTCTTCCTATCGGGCTTGAACCCTTCCACTATCTCTCTATTAGTATGGAAAAATTAAATAGGAAAAGCTCTGAAATATGGCTTTGAGATGTTAGGCATCCAATGATGATTGTGTTTATGCCTTCATGAGCATTATATTTATAGACTTGGTTGATTTTGGCTCCAAGTTTAGACTTGGATTTGAAAGTACAGTACTGCAACTCGATCTTCTAGTGTTATTTGATAAGAATCCTTGTTAATCTAATCTTCCTGACTGTTTTGGATGAGAATGAGGTGTTATCTTCATTTAATTTAAGTGTTTATTTTCATAACTACCTTTTCTCATCCTAGTCTTGAGAAAATTTTGTGATGCACTTGATTTGAATTCAAATTTTGTACTTATTAGCTTATCCATTTTGTTACAGTGCAAAATACAACATTTTATTAATTGACCATTGCTATAGCATTGTTATGACATCAACCTACAAAATAAAATACTTAGCAAATTATCTATTCCAACATTAAAATCATACGAAAAACTATAAATTTAAAATATAATAATCTTAAAACACTTAACATCATATATCATGCATATTAAGTTCAATTAATCATGATTTATGTACTTTTATGTTAAATTATGCAATAGTTTATAAATAAAAAGCATAAAATTACCTCCCACTTAGAGAGTTAACAATGCCTGATGCATCATGGTTAGGGTGGTGATGGCCTGGTTGGTGGTGGTGACACGACCAACGGTGAACAGTGGCAATTGTTGGGGCTGATCGATGTGGTGGTGATTAGTGACTGGTGGTTGGGGAGGTGGTAGTCAGTGACAATGGTGATGGTTGGTAGCTCATGGTGATAGCCGATGGCGATGGTGGCTGATTGATGAATGGTGGTGGTGGTAGAGGTGGCCGATGGCCGACGATGTTGGCTGGTCGATAGCAAGGTGGACCTTCACATGCCCGACAAAATTTATAGGAGAAGAAAATGTGGCTGTATTTGGGATGAGAGTGATGTAACATTTGTTATCCTATCTTGTCCATTCCTAACTTGAGTCCCCTCTTATGATAACTTATCCTATTGCAGATAGGATAAAATGAGCAAACATGATAAGCTTATTATATCGTGTTAGTTCGCTAAACAATGGATAAGACCTTGATATGATAACTTATCCTATCATGACCACCAAACAGATCTTTAGAGTGGGGTACTGACTCTCAAAAGAGACACTAACACTCTTCCATTATTAAACTAGTTTATTTTCTTATAGAAAAAAAAGTATAATAAAGAGAAGATAAGTAAAACATCATGTGGAAGGATAAGTGTTGTGAAAACAGTGATTCTATACCTATGCAAGTGCACATATTAACAAATAATATATGATTTATGAGTCACGATATCATTTGCACAAAGAAAATTTTAATATATTAGTTTTACCATCTCACAACTTATTTAGTGAAAAATAATGTATCATAAAATTAATTTTTATACGATGATTAAACAATCTCAATTGACTTTTATTCTATACAACAGTTGCTATCACACAAAGTGAACCACTTTGATTAAGTTGTAACGTCCAGCCGCTTCAAGAATCAATGACTGTCCCCACATACTAACACGAGACTTTTTAGTATACTTTTTCCTCACTCGCACACTTGCTATGAAAACTTCCCAGGAGGTCACCCATCCCAGAATTGCCCCAAGTCAAGCACGCTTTACTATGAAGTTCTTCCTTTTCGAGCTACCGAAAAGTAGATGTATCTTGTTAGTATAGGTAGTACCAATTAATTCTTATAAGCTATCCTAAACTGTACAGTCTCATACCAGCACAGTCTCTGGAATTCCTCTCTTTCAGGTGTCGATTCGATTTCAATTCATTCGTTCTCGTAACCCCCCGCTGGAAGCCTATCAGGAGCCGCTTCTTGTCCATGCCCTTTTGCACCGGCGATCACTCCCCGCCCTCGTCAGCACCCAAGATGTTACAAAGTGTCTGTTTGAGAGATTTTTTTTTTTAGTTTTTTTTTCTCCTTATAAGTAAAAGCTAGTCCAAACAGGATTCTATAAAAACTCTTATAACAAAAAAAAATTATAATGAAAAAAAAGCAAAAAGCTTGATCCTGTTTGGATCTTTTTTTTTAAGCTAGAAGTTACTTTTAAGTTACAGCTGAAAAAATAAAATAAAAAGCTATTTGGTAATTATATAAATTTTTTAGCTTAAAAGCTATTTAAAAACACACTTTCAAGATAAGTCTCTTGCTCTATCTCTTTATATCTCAACGACTCTTCATTTAAAAAAAAAACATGCAATTCAAGAAAAACAAATAAGAGTTTAAAAAAAGCTTCTTTTGGAAACTTTTGACTTTTGACTTTTTCTTCATTATAAAAAAAAAGATATTTTCTCAAAACCTGTTTAGCTTAGCTTCCATTTATAAGGAAAATAGAAGCTACAAATAAGAGGATTCAAATAGGCAAAACACTCCTGGGAGAAACTTTTTTTAAATTGTATCAATTTTTTTTTTTGAAATGTGTGCTATTTTTTTTAAAACTCTTCTTTTTTAGCATTAACTTAAAAAGAGGTGCAAACATACTGTAAGTCGATTTTGAGTTGTGGCGCTCAGTGGCTAGCGAATTACTCTCCTAGGACTTGTAATATGATTAATATCTATCAGCCCTCCTCAGCATTTACTAGAGATGCTAGAAGAAGATAGGAATAGTGCTATGTCTGTTTTGAATCCTATTTTCTAATCTGTTTTTGGAGGTATGGCCCTCCCCGTTACAAAAAAAAAAAAAAGGTTATGCATTTTTTTCTCCCATTCTATATTCTCCATTTTAATACTATGGATTATTGTAGCCAAAATAATACAATGATGCTATATTTTCTATTATATATTTCGAGTAAAGTTTGAATTTAATTTCAGAAAGTATAAAATCATATTCATAAATAAAAAAAGTTCTGGTAGGATCTATATTTGGGCTCAGGGTGGGCAAATGTCCTGGTACGAGCATTAATATAATGATTTAATTCAAGCGTTATTTTTAAATCTCCAACCATCTAATAGTTATGAAAATTATAAAAACGAAAAATAAAATAAAATGCAAGCTCAAATATCCAACTCCAATTTTTTTGTCAGAGTAAGTTTATCTCTTTTCTCTTTTCTAGGGTTTTGATATTCGAGTTCAATTTTCCAGTGGAATTGACGGTAGCTTTGGGGTCGTAGATCGAAGTGAAGCTTTGCAGTAGTAGATAGGCGTTAGGGTAGAAGAGCGATGGGAAAAGTTTCGCCGAAAGAGAAGAGTTGGAAGATTCCAGAAGGAAGAAGAAAGTTACAGAGCTCCGTGAATAAGTATCCGAAGCCGGAAACTCTTGCTAATTATCTAATGGTTTGTGCTTATATTTTGATGCTTGTATGCATTTTTTCCCTTCATTTTCTTTAATAGAAAGCAATTTCTCAAATTCTATGTACTGATGAGTTTCATACTACATCCTGGGAAAGCAATTTCTCAAATTCTTTAAGACATTTGTTTCGGGTTAAAAGAAAAATTACCTTTATCCATGAAACTTCAATGTAATTTCATCAATTTTGCTTTTTGGTTTGCAGACTGTGGTTCACAGTGGTATTGCAGATCAGTTGCCGCTTTCGGAAATAATATTAAGTGATGTAAGCTAACACAAACTTTTGGTATTTGTGCATGTTCTGTCTTCATAGTGTAGGACCACTTTCATTTTGGTGATCTATCACAATTGTGATCTATGTTGCACCGGCACCCGACACGAGACACGACACGATATTCCGACACTCCGAAACGTTAATTTAAAAAAATGTTACATTTCGACAAGTTAGGACACATTTTGATATTAAATAACATGTAGTGTATATTATATTTAATATTCAATAATTTAATAAAAGAATAAAGTTAAACTTATAATACCCATTAATTTTGCAAAGAAACATAAGATATCTCAAATATTTATATTAAACTAAAAAAAAATGATAATCGTAATCCAACGAATCTAATAGTTGGAATTAAAAATGCAACGCAAACTTTTAACCCTGTTTTGAGTCTCTGTAATGCGTGTTAAAGAGTTGGGGAGTATTGGAGTGTCAGTGAGTGTCGGGAAGTTACGTCAGTGTTTTTGAGGTGTAGGTGGATTGTTATAGATTCTTCATTCAAAGTTTCTATCTTTTGATTGCAAACCTGTCCTCTTTTGTAGTATTAGGAGATGTTAGTTTGTATGCTTTCATTTTAATTTCTCTACTCTTTACCTCTACTTTTTTAGATTTCTAAACCACTTATTTTTGCTATATGCAGATGATCCGGAGGTTCCTTGTGTTTTAACATCATCGTGAATTCTTGAAGGATCATGTTCTTTTTAAGAGGTGTGTTTTGTTATTTCTTTTATTTTGGGAGAGCAGCAGGGTGGTATTTTTAAGGAACATGTAGATGTGCAATGAAATTTTAGCTCATGGTATTTTATCTATTTTCTGATGTAGACCATACCATAGAATAGATCCCATTGTGTTGTCGAAGATACACCAGACACATAGAGTTGGTTTTTTGAAGTTCTGGCTCTTTCTTAGTCTTTTTATTTTTTATTGCTTTCTTCTTTTATGTGATTTTTAATTTTATCTTCTCACTTTCTGGATACTGTTTTCGCTAGAGTCTTGGATGAGGCTACTGGTGCAAATCTTCGCTCCATAATACATGCAAATGATGACTTTGTAAGATTTGATTAATAGAGAATGAAGACATACCATTTAATGCAGTGAGTGTTATCTTTATTATTGACTGCTCTGTTATTTTTCAGGTTCTTTCTCTGTTGAAAGATAAAACTACTTTTATCCCGGAGTTGTTTGCTGGGTTAAAGTCTCCCACCACCTCTTAAGAATCAAAGAAGAACTTGGTAAGTCTTGATGAAGATATTGTTTTGTAATCAACTTATAACAGCCAAGGCTCTGTTTGGTATGCAATTGTTGGGTGGAAAGAGAGTTGGATGGGCCCCACATATTTTACATCCCTTCCTAATTTCTTTAACATTCAGTGGAATGAATCTTGTCTCCAGCTGCTGAGTGCTGATGCTTTTTCATATTTAGCCAGACTTACTATTTTGTTCTCGTGATCCTTCTGTGTCCATGCAGGGGGTTCTCCGATCTCAGTTACAAACTGCAAATGAAGAGACTGAAATTAAGAAAAGGTATGGTAGTCCTCATCTTTTGCAGAGCTATTTAGAGATTAGTACAAGACAAAGAATAATAAATGACGGAAACTTAGAATCTCTTAGGTGAAATACTTTAGAAAATAGAATGACAACATAATATAATACAGCGTACCAGCTTGCAAGCAAAAATGCCACCAATAAAGGAAGTATATGGAATCAGAGGGTCTGCTGACAAAATATTCCTTCACGAACAAATTAGCTTGGTTCTGGTAAGTTTTAAATTTAATGTTTTTTTGAAGCCAACATTGCAACACTGCCCTTTTGATGAGAAGTCTCTTGAGGATGATATATGCGTTCTACCTTTTCTCGAGTCACCTATTATATGAACATATTTAAGTTTGGAGACAAGATGATAAAAAATTAAAATTCAAAGATGAACCTCAACTAGGGATGTCTTAAAAAATGACTTATGAGTTAAGGATAACAAATACTATCACAGAAGTTACATGAATTGAGGGAAAGAGACTTAGCAAATCAAGTATATGTCTATTGTGTACGAAAAATTCAAGGAGACTAAGTAATTACTACTTTCAAATGGACAACGCAAGAATATTCATAGAAGGAAAGAAGAAATACAAGGAATTAGGAGGATAAGGTGTCCGTGCAGATAAAGACATAGTTCACAACCGAAATAAATGAATAAAAGTGTGCTAATCTCTCTTGTTGAAAGCAAATTCATCCCAAATCAGTTCGAGAAAGGTACGAATTTCCCCCAGAAATCCCAAACGTTCTGCACCAAACAAAAATTACCAATAAGTTTATTTGCACACTAAACAAGGACACTAAGAATTCGATGTTAGGTTTTTAATTTCTATCTTCTTGTCATGCGGGTGTGTGATTTATGTGTTTTTGTTATAAATATAGATGTTATAGTTATTGCGGGCTTTGAAAATTCTAATAAATCCAACGGACGTTTTGTTTTCTTCTGCATTTTCATTTTCATAAGTACAGCTTGATTTTCCTCTTTTTCTAACAAACCCTAGGGTATGTTTGGTGCATAGTATAGAATAAGGTCCGATAGTATAAGACCTGATAGTACAAGGCCTGACTGAATTTTAATACTATTCAGCATTTGGTATGGTATTGTATAAGATAATATCATCTAATATTTGACAATACACTGTAAAATAATATATAAGATAAAAATAAATATTTTTAATAAAAATATCTTTTAATAAAGAATTTATATAATTCTTCAAAAAAATGTCATATGATATTAATTTTTATAAAAATCTAATGATCAGTGTGTTCAAAAAATGAATTAATTTTTATAAAATTAAAAATATCCAATATTTTAAAATTTAATATATTGAAAAATTAATTTTTATTAATTAAAATAATATATTAATTTTTGAGAATTGCACTGGTCAACGATGTTAATACATTAATCTCTTATCAGGCTTAATCCTTCATTCTTAGGCCGGATTAAGTTATACATCATTTTGATGTATTAAGGCCTGATAGTATAAGACCTGATAGTATAAGGCTTGATTGTATAAGACCTGATTGAATTTTAATATTATCAAGCGTTTGGCACGGTATTGTATAAAATAATATATTGTATAAGATAATATCATCTAGTATTTGGTATATAATACTATATATGATAAAAATAAATATTTTTAATAAAAATAATATTTTTTAATAAAAATAATATTTTTAATAAAAATATCCTTTAATAAAGAATTTATATAATTCTTCAAAAAATGTCATATGATATTAATTTTTATAAAAATTTATTGATCAGTGTGTCCAAAATATAAATTAATTTTTATAAAAATAAAAATATTCAATATTTTAAAAATTAATATATTGAATTTTTTTTATTTTAATAGATTAATATTAAAATAATATATTAATTTTTTAGAATTACATTGGTCAACGATGTTAATACATCAATCTCTTATCAGGTCTAATCCCTCAGCCTTAGGCCGGATTAAGTTATACATCGTTTTGATGTATTAAGGGATTATGTTGTATAAGCTTATACTATACGGTGGTCACACCAAACAACTGAAAATGTCATAACGTATAGTATAAGCTTATACTATCATGCCTTATACGTCACACCAAACAGGCCCTAAGAGATTCTGATGTATAAGCTTATACTATATGATGGTCATACCAAACAACTGAAAATGTCATAACGTATAGTATAAGCTTATAATATCAGACAATATACGTCACACCAAGCATGTCTCTAGAGTCGCCAATTTTTATATTTTTTAAAAATATAAAAATTTCATAAAAGTTTATAAATTAAAAGAACGTGTTTAACATTCATCGAAACTTTAAGGATTTATAAAATAATTTAACCTATTATTTTATAAGAATGTCAATAATAGAGAAATTTATTTCATTGAAATATATATATATATATATTTGGAAAAAATTCATTTCATTTAAATATTTTGATTTCATTTGCAAATTTTTTTAGATTTCATGTAGTAAATATTAAATTGATTCCAAGTCTTTATCGGGATAATCTAATGTATAAAAGTAGACTTAAACGCATTCGGCCGTTTTTGGCAGGTTGTGCTACAAATCTCAGTGCCAATATTGATTTCTACAATTTAGTGAAAATATACTAAAATACAAAATTATATTCTAAAATGAATGTTAATAAGACAAAACATGTCCAAATTGAAATAAGGAAATTAATTTTGGCTTGGAGTATTATAATAAAGTTCTTAAACAAGTATGAAAAAAAACAGTATTTTAAAAATATATGTATACAATTTTGATTCGAGTTTGATTGGATGGATTTTTATATTTTGATTGGATCCAATATAGTTAATTTTCATTTTTCACTTTTAATATATATATATTTTTTTAATTTTCCTATTTTCCTATTAAATTGTTTGCATACGGGGAGGTCCAGGGACATAGCCGCCCTTCCTTAACAAGCCGATGCATTCCCCATCCGGGGGGCTGACTGGTTGGACCTGCATGTAAATTTGATCTAAAGTCAAATGTGTCGGTGCTGATCCGAGCTTTGCGGTATCCTGCTTCCTTCATTACTTACTTCAAGCTTTATTTTCGAATCTTTAACTCATTTAATATTTATGAAAAATATAAAAAAGTGAAGAAAAACAAAATACAAGCTCATATAATAAAGTTTTCAAAGATGAATTCAGAAGTTGTTTGAGCTAGTCATGTGAAGAAGAATTAAATAAGTAATACAGGATCCAAAGTACCTCAAACTTAAAGTTTAGTAGTGGCAACTTGTTTTCGTATAAGCCAAACTGTCTTTCTGATTGCTGAAGCAACTTCAAATTTCAATTATTTGATATTTTCAGGTTGTATAACATCAACAATAATGATTATAAAAGTATACTTCAACGCTTAGGACCGCTATTGCCGGGTTGTAGCATGTGAACGTTAACAGAAGAATTAATTAATGAAATAGATAAATGCCTATATCTGGGTATTACTTCAAAGCAAAAGCTTATATTAACCGGATTCCTCCAATCACCGGATTTGTGCTACAAATCTCTGTTTGCCAATACTGATTTCTTCAACTTCATTTTCAAAACTATCTCAATGCTTTGAAGTGATTGTAGGAAGGATTCTGTAGCCTTTTCCTTCGTATTACTTCAATATTTTTGATACCTTTGAAGTGGTCTACGTAAGGACCAATCACAATTTGATCCACCGTATTTGAAGTTTAGGTTGGTTTCTCTCTCCGTCATTTTACTCAGAAGCTCCTTTAAACATAATGCGTGTTCGTCTATCATGAGAAATATTTGCTGCTTAGAATTTTATGTTCCAAACCTTTACTGTAATATAATATTTGGTGTTAATCTTCTATACCAAAAATCCTGGATGATAAGCTATATTGAACGGTTTGAAATGAAAAAAAAAAATTATTTATACCAAATTTTTTTATATCAAACTATATTAGTTGATTTTGTTTTTGAATTGCAAAAACTATAAAGAAATATTTGGAAGAGCCAATTAAAAAAGGAATTTTTGCGCAAAAGTTATTTATGTTCACAAGAATATTATTCTTTATTGGAGATGACACTCTCTTATCATTTGAAGGGAATTTTATAGAAAAAAAGGTTTTTTTTTATCCATTTACCCTTTTTTTTTGGTAATATTTTTAAAGAGGGCATTCTTCCGATTTTTTTTTAATTGAGATATTATTCATTAAATATTAAAAACAAATAAGTTAGCATTTACAATCTTACAATTTATTTCGTGAAACATATATTACAGTTTTAAAGTTTATATATGATTAAATAATGGGAAATAATACTCTCATGCCACATGAGATACTCTCATTTTCCTACACAAATTCGTTTTTCGTGCCAAATAATTTTTCTTTTCTTTTTTAATATAAAATATGGGACCCACATTTAACTTCTCTCTACTTTTTTTCTCTCCTACAATCCTACAACATAAGAAAAGCTAAACCCTTAAATAATCCATTGACTCTTATATTACACTTTTGTCGCAGAAATCGAAGCGAGTCACAGAAGTTTGAATAAATTTTGAGGATATAACGGCTTGTGGACCTGCTCTGGTATGTATGGTAATGCATTATTTTCTCGTTATATATTCATCATTTCATTAGTTATGCTGGTTAATTAATTGTAGCCAAACTAGTATAATGGTACTCTATGTTTTATTATATATTTTGAAAATAGAAATGAAAGATCAGAATACTTAGGGTATTGTGTTCTAGTTTTTTTTCTTAGAATAGTTATGAAAATAAGTGTTTTCTGTGTTTTTTTTATGGGAAAAATATTTCTCCGGTCACCGGAAATAAAGTTACCTCCAGTGAGCTCAAAACGACGTCGTTTTGGTTATAAAATTAAAAAATTATAATGATAAAGATTAATATAACTCTGCAATATATTAAAATTACAAAAACATCAAAACGACATCGTTTTGGATTCACTGGAGATAACTTATCTTCATTAACTGGAGAAATCTTTTACCTTATTTTTTTATTGTGTTTCTTTTATGGGAGGGGCTATATTTACAACCCAAATAGTTTATTTTGAAAGTTAAAAGTCAAAATAAAAAAAAAAGCTGTTTTGAATTCTGTTTTGGAAAACAGTTTTTTAGTTTTGAAAACAAAAAAATAAAAAAATCTACTTGATAATGGTTATTCTACAAAAACGCATCTAAAAACTGTATGTGTTTTAGGTTTTAAAACTAAAGTCAGAGAAAATCTCATAGATGTTTTTGTTCTGTATTTTGGGTTTTGATTCTGAAACACAGAAAAACACGGAGATCTGTTTTTTCATTTATGGCAACATAGTATTTACGTAAGAATTGAAAACAATAGAAATTTGAACTGAACAGTATAAAGACTGCTTTTGCATCCACTTCTATTGTTCTTCAATTTTTAAAATTGTTTTCAAAACATTGTCATCAAACAAGTTCTTTCTTCTTTTATTCTACAAAACAATTTTTAAAATTTGATCTACAAAATGGTTCTAAGAACCAAAAAAATTAAAACACAATCAAACATAGCAATTTTCTCTAAGGTTGATTCTAAAAACAAAAAAACAGTTATAATTTTAATTTTTTTTTACAAAACAGACTTTATTAAATGGTTTTTTTTTTTTGTTCTAAAAACCAAAACTTACTTTTAGAAACAGTATTCAAACAAGGTCTTATTTTTTTTTTCATTCCAATTTTTTTTAAAAATTATGGGATAGGATATTGTGACAACCAAGTAAAGTTACAACCAATATTACTACAAATCAATCTCACCGTTAGATTGATAGTAGCGATCCGACAGTCCTCGTTGAATTCTTAAATAGCCCCTCCGTCGTCGTTTCTCTCTCTCCCCCTTCTCTCTTCCCTTCTCTCTCTCTCAAGCAGGGAACTAGATATCTGTGAATTCTAGGGGAAGAGTTTCCATGCGGATAATTCTGGCCTGGTTGTTGATGACAATTTATTTATGTATTTTGATGATATTTTATATGAAAAAGTTACTGAGAAATAAGCTGAATGGGATCATTAGATATTTGGATTTTTATGACAATCATTGCTAGGCTATTTTGTTAAATTCATTCTCAGTAATCTTGGTGTTATTCTTTTGGAAGTTATGAAACCATTGATTTCCTTGGTGCTTTCCTGAAAAAAGCATCTGAATTCATATACCTTGTGATTTCTTTAAACAGGTTGGTCACTAGAACCGCGATAATTGATCTCCTCAAAAAATCGAATTAAATATGAATTCAGATGTATTCAAATATTAATGGAACTAGAACCGCGATAATTGATTTGCTCAAACAATCGAATCTGGTAAAAATCGAACCTGATAAAAATTGAACCCTAGCTCGTGAGAGAGAGAAGGGAAGAGAGAGAAGGGGGAGAGAGAGAAACGACGACAGAGGAGCTATTTAAGAATTCAACGAGGACCGTCGGATCGCTACTACCAGTCTAACGGTGAGATTGATTGGTAGTAACATTGGTTGTAACTTTACTTGGTTGTCACAATATCCTATCCCCAGATATAAAAGGTAAAATTTTATCATCAATAAATTTTGTAAATTATTTTCCTTTTGAAGTTAGAACATGTTTGCATTAAGAGGAATTGCTTTGATTAAAAATAAAGATATTTCTCAACATGCTAGTCATCGAGCTATTCTGATCGATATGGTATAAACCACTCCCCGTCAAACCCAACTAGCGAGTGTGGGGTGGAGGAAATTCTTGTACGCAGCCTTACCCTTGCATAATTGCAAAAGACTGTTTTTCTGGATTCGAACCCATGAACTTCATCTTATAAAATTTCTTATCTTCTTAGCCCTTCTTCAAGTACTGAAAAAAGAAAAGGAAAACAAGCAGCATATATAAATTTATAGGTGGATTAACATGAATTTAAATAAAAATGTATATACACTGATTTTTCAATTATAATAAAGTGGCTTATATTAAAATTTTAACCTATACTTAAAAACTATAAATAAGTGAAACTCTATGAGATACAATTATTAGGTTTTAGAAAGTGATTCATTTTTGTTATATGGTAAGAAAAAAGATATTTGAGCAGAAGTATAAACTTGAAATAAATAAAAAACCTTAAATGAAATATATTTGTGGTCTTTCTCTTTTTAATTAGAATATTACATGTGAATCTTAATATAATTTGGAATATAATTATTTTTACTAATATTTTGGTATATTTGCTATTGTATTAGTCTATTCTAAAGTTTTGTCTTGTCATTAAATTATCAAAAATACATTTTTTAGTTTCGATTTTTCTTACTCTGTACATTCTCATCTCATCACCAATCATATTTAACTATAAAGAAACCTACTTAAAAATGTTATAGATTAATTTGATTTGATTTTCAGCAACTAATTTATATGAAAAGTATAATCATGTTTATGCAACAAATTTGTTAGATGAAATTTTGACATTTTGTTTGTTAAATTTATTCGAGGTCTCATTTTTGTCACAAATATTTTCAAAACTCATGAAGCAATATACTTTTTTTTTGGTAAAAAGAAAGGGATTAAAGCCCCAAACAACACAAAACTAGCTCAGAGTAACTCTCCGAAAATTACAGACCAACGAAAAATCAGCCAAATATAATGGCACAATCCCAGGAGGAGGAGAATCAAAAACAGTAAAATTATCACTCAAATGATGCTCCAAAGGATATTTAGACAACCAGTTCGCACAACCATTACTTTCTCTAAACACATGAACCAGATGTACCTTCCACTCTTTTTGTAACCATGCTCGAATGTGAGTCACCAAACGAGACTCTCGAGCTGCTCCTTCAATTTTAGAGAGCAAAGTGATCACTGAACTAGCATCACTTTCTAAAACACAACGACGCCAACCACCATTCCAAGCCAATTCAAGACCTTTTAGTACACCCGAAAGTTCAGCAACAAAGGCGGAGCACTTACCAATGTGATAGGAAAAGCCTTGAATCCATCTACTAGTCTCATCCCTCAAAAGACCTCCCCAAGCCGCAACTCCAGCATTGAATTTGGAAGACCCATCGGTATTAATCTTAATCCAACCAGTAGTACGGGGTTGCCACACAATAGGAATATGCACCTGTCTTCTACCAGACCTCCCAAACGCACACTGATTCTTAGCCGAGATAACCTCTTGCACCGTTATCACTTAAGATGTAATGTTGTTTTATTACTCTCTTTTTTTAAGATGTCTGTTAAAAAGTTGTAGTACTATTCCTAAAGGAAACAATCAACATATTATTATCAGTAATTTAGTATAAATATTTGGCACTGGTTCAAGTTTTTAAGATATGGTGTGATTTTTTTTTATAGTTTTCTTGAAATTCTATTGTGCTCTCAAAGTTATAAATTCTTTTGTTCCATGTCTTTCAATATAGCTGAGCAGTTAGGGAATTTCTCCTCATACAATTTAGGCATGTAATTTAAATTATTTGTGATCGAAATATTCTTAAAATACATAATTCATTTATTCTTATACATGGAACTTATTGAATTTGAATATTTCTTTTTTATCATAGTATCCTATGAATATTATTGCAGAACTAAAAGGAATAAGTTGATGTTGCATATCACATTTATAATTTTTTTTTGTTAAATGTCACTCAATTGATTTTTTTTAGTTGCTAAACTAAATGAAAAATTACGAGAGTTAATAAAAACGGAACTTTAGCACAAAAGTTATTTAGGTCACAAGCATTAAGCACAAGATCATTCTTATTGAATTTCACATTTTCTTCATTAGAGAGCCATTTCTCTAGAAACAGAAAAAAGTATAAAAGAAAAAAGATTTGATTTGCACCATTTTAATTTTCCTTTTAAAGATGGCATTCTTTTTAATAATCACTTTTTTCTTTTCTTTTTTATCATGAGATCTTATACAATTGAATATTAAACAAAAAATAAGTTATTGTTTACAATATTATAACTTATTTGATGAAATATCATATATCATAATGTAAAAAAGCTTTTACGGTGATTAAAAGATATTGATTGACTCTTATTCTTTTTTTTTTTCTTTTGTTAATAGAATGATTGACTCTATTTCTATATTACAATTTTGTCACAGAAGTCAAAGTAAGCCCACATCAGTTCAAATTAATTTCGAGCATGTGCAATTTATGAAGCTGCTCCAATCTATATGGTAATATCTTTTCTCCCATTCTATATCCTCCATTTCCATTTGGTTACATACGTTGATTAATTATAGGCCAAAATATTTAGGCGATACTATATATTCTATTATGTATTTTTAATAAAGTTTGAACTTAATTTATTGTACGTATAAAATTATATATATAAATAAAAGGGAAAACTTCAAAAAATCTACAAGTTTTCTCAAAATCACTTAACCCCCTCCCCGAAATTTTTAATCATTTACCCCCCTATTTAAAATTTCTTTATCACTTACCCCCCTAATTTGATTTTCCATCCAAAATTTTGTTAACATAGTTAAATTTTAAAAAAAATACCAAAGTTATTCTTAATAAAAAAAGAAAAACATAATTTCTTCACAAATACAATTTTAGACAAACTCGCGGAATGTTTTCTTTAAGGTAGCCTTGTTAGAATTAGTAATTATAAAAATTATTTCCTGCAAATTCCATTGCTATTAAACACCGCACTCACAATTGTTGGTATCGTTGTTCAAATAAAATGATTAAAGAGACATCATCTCAGCAGGTTTAGATCTTCTTTTTTCTGTTATAAATTTTTTTGCTATTATATGACCAACAAATCTGACTTTATAAATTTAGGCTTTAATGTTTCTACGGTGAATGTAGATAAGTTATCTACATTCAATCCTAAAATGACGTCGTTTTGAGTTGAAAAATTAAAAATTATAATGAAAAAGACTGTTATAACCCTGAAATACATTATAATTACAAAAATAATGTGATTTTCGCCTCAAAATGACGTCGTTTTGATCTCACTGTATATAAGTTATCTACATTGACGGTAGAAAAAGCGAACCCCTAAATTTATTCAGAGCCGCACTTTATTTTGCTTGCACAACAACTCAAAAGCTTTACATTCTGTGCTTCATATATGCCTTGTTTTTCCCTTAATCATATGATATTACCAAGCAAACATTCAGAAGGTGCTATTTCGTTTTTTTCTGTGTCTTTGAGAGTAGAGGGAGGATTCAATCCATGATTTACATTCATGTCTTGCTTACGTGAGTTTGTCTAAAACTGCGCTTGTGAGGAAATTATGTTTTTCTTTTTTCTATCAAGGGTAAGTTCGGTACCTTTTAAAAAAATTTAACTCTGTTAACAAAATTTTGGATGGAAAATCAAATTAGGGGGTAAGTGATAAAGAAATTTTAAGTAAGGGGGGGTAAATGATTAAAAATTTCGGGGAGGGGGTTAAATGATTTTGAAGAAACTTGTGGAGGGGTTTTTGAAGTTTTTCCTAAACAAAAAGACGTTACGTTATCTCAATTACCATAATTTCTTTTAAAAATAATTAAGTAAATTTTTTTAAGTAATTTTAAAAGGGGAAGGATATGCTTACCACCAAAAAAGTTTACCACATTTACAACTAACCTAATTATCGTTGATTTTCGTCAATCAAACGGTTATAGTTTATTAGATTTATTGAAAATTAATAATTAATTAATAAATACGACTCAATAATTTCTAAAAGTTTACTACATTTACAACTAACCTAATCACCGTTGATTGACGGAAATCAACGGTGATTAGGCTGGTTGTAAATGTGGTAAATTTTTTTGGTGGTAAGTATATTTTCCCCATTTTTTTAAAATATGAGATATTATTTTTTACTAAATTTGTTATTTTTTCTTTAATAGTTTTAAAAACTCTAATTCAAATATGAATAATTAATTAAATTCACATTTGATTTTAAATAGTGTAACTAACTTATAATTTGGTGTATAGAAAATTGTTCGGTCATAGAGAACCGTAGAATTATACTGTAGGGTATGCGCTCAGAGATATCCTGTAGACAAATATCTTGGTTGACTTATAGTCAATATCTCAATCACTGCGCACAAGCAATAGCCAAGACGTGAGTGTGTGCATAGTGTTGCCAATAGTAGTAAATGAGTTCAGTCTGTGTACCGGGGGGTCTTTAGCCTTTTATTTATAGGGGTTATCTCTCAGGTTTGGGCTGTGTAGATCTCCCAGTTGATGTAGGACTTAACCTCTTATTTGTAGGGATAAGGGTTTAATCTTCATTATCTTTATCATCTTATGCTGTTAGGATAATTGTGTCATTATCTATTAAGGGATTCATGGGTAGGTAGTTAGGATATGGATATATTCCATAACAAGACTCATAATTTATCATAAAATTATATGAATTAGTAAATAATAAATTTTACCTTATTATTATTGTTTGGTAACAAATATACTTTACCTTATAACATTAAAAAAGAAATGAAAGAGAATATTTATTTTTTATTTTTCTTCTAAATATTTTCAAAGCCCAATATTTATGGAACATGTGGACAAGGTATCCTATAATGGGGGTATAAGTGTACAATTTACGCTAAATTATGCCAATCTTAAACTTTTATTTAAAAAAATCATTAAGTTGGGAAGAATTTGATGAATTTTAGAAAAACAATTGGATGAAAATAAAATAAAATAAAAAGTGGTGGGGCGAAAATGAAATAAATAAGGTTAAGAGGCAAAAGATAAATTTTTTTTTTTTAGTAATTTAAAGATAAAATTTTACCATCAGTAGATTGTTTAAACTTATTTTCCTTTTGAACTTGAACATTATGCATTTATAGGAGTCATTTTGTTCTATAGTTTGGTCAAAATATAAACATATTTCTCGCGATGCAAGTCATGATCTAATAGATATGGTATATCTTTTAGAATTACTCATATTTTAAAATAATCCTTCAAGTACTGAAATTTTTTTAACAACCAATATATCTATATTAGTTTTTCAATTTTAACGAAGTATAAATAAGTTAGCTTTATGAAATATAGTTCTCAAACTTTAGGAAATGGTTCATTTTTCTTGTGCGAAGATAATAAAATATAGCACAAGTATAAGCTAGAAAAACATATATGATATTACAAAAAAAAAAAAAAAAAAAACATATATGCAACGGGAAATGTTTGCAGTATTTTGTTTTATTTTATTTTGCTAGAATTAACTTTCGAACCTTAATATATGTTATGGCTATTTATATATACTACAGTTATTATGTTCTACTAAAATTTAAATTTATTTACGAAATATCCTATTTGTCTATTACAAAATTTTAACATGTCATTTAAATATATTCATTCAGTCTCGGTTCATTTTACTTTGTACACTTTCATCTTATCACAAATTATATTTAACTATGCAAAACGTATCTTAAAATTGTTATAGATTAGTTGAATGCAATTTCCAACAGCAGATTTATGTGAAAAAGCATATTAATTTTGTGAACTAATACAAATTTGAAGAAAATTAGCAAATGCTAGAGATCTATTTGTTAATTAATTTCACTTAAGGCCTCTCAAATATTTTCGACACTCATCAAGTGATATACTTATGCTCAAATTAGATGTAATGTTAACCAGTTTTATTAATATTTTTAATTGATATAAGACCGTAAACTTATCTCCAAAGTAAATAAATAAAGTAGTATCTATTATTGGTTTGCATCCTCGGGAAAATATCGTGGAACGACAAACTCATCTCATCTATTAATTTAAATTCATTGATTTACATTTATTCCCTTGTTATCATAATTAAATAATCTTCTTGTTTACGTGCATGCAGGGAACGATGTGGTTGATATATACATATTGACCTCAGTAAAGTCAACGATGAAAGATGGATCATCTAATTATTTGGTGTTCTCAATTGGCGAAGTCACCTCGTATGAAGGCGTGGCTAAAGCAGCAAGTATTGATTCCCCTACTGGAGTATGAGGCAAGAGTTCGGACACTAGAAGGTGCTGTTCAGAATCTGAAGAAAGCTAAAGAAAAACTTCAACACAAAGTTGAGGAGGAAGAAAGATATGGGAGAGGAATTCACGAAGATGTTAAAAAATGGATAGAAGGGGTGGATGAAATCATTTCTGAATATGATCGCTTCAATGGGGATGAAAGTAAGGAACTTGCCATATTTGACTTGTTTACAAGTTGTTACCTTCCTAAGCCGGGGATAAGGTATCGTCGAAGTAGAGAAGCATATGTTATTAATGGGAAGGTTAATGGACTACTGCAAGCAAAGCATGACACGCTTTCTTGTTGGCTTGGCCCACCCTCCATGGCTGCCTTTTTTTCTAACATTGGCTATGAAAGCTATCATTCGAGAGCAAAAATAGTGATTGACATTAAGGCAGCATTGGAAGACCCAAAAGTTAGAATGATTGGACTTTATGGTTTAAGTGGTGTGGGTAAAACCACTTTAGTCAAAGAAGTTGCTAAGGAAGCCTTAGAAGATAAGGCGTTCGATGTAGTGACTATGGCAAACATAACCAGAAATCCTGATATTAGAAAAATTCAAGGACAAATTGCTGATATGTTGGGGATGAAATTGGATGAGGAAAGTGACGTTGCAAGAGCTGCTCGAATTCAAGAGACGTTAAAGAATGGGAAAAAGAGCACACTTATAATCCTAGATGATCTTTGGGCTAAATTGGACTTCAATATGTTGGGGATTCCATCCGAGAATGATGACCTGAAGAATGTCAAAGAAGAAAAATCCCCTGAGGCTTCCAGTATTGGGAAAACAGAAGAAGCTTTAAATAAGATGAATTTAAAAAATCTCTTGGGTACCCCCAATAAGGTGAAAACAGAAGAAACTCTTGGTCGTTTCAAAGGGTGTAAAGTTTTGCTGATTTCTGAAACCAAACAAGTGTTATTGAGTCAGATGGAAGGACAGGGGAACTTTATTTTCTTGGTGGAAGCCTTACAAGATAAGGAAGCAGATACTCTGTTCATGAATAAGGCTGGAATAAGTGGTACGAATTCTAAATTTACAAAATTAGCTGCTCAAATTGCCAACAAGTGTCAAGGGTTACCAATGTCGATAGTTACAACTGCAAGGGCATTAAAAAATCAGAGCCGCTCGGTATGGGAGGATGTTAACCGAAAGCTTGAATGGCAAAAATTAACAGGAGCGCCTGAGTTTTCAACAAAGTTGAGTTATGAACTTTTAGAAAATGAAGAGCTCAAGTACACTTTCTTACTTTGTGCTCGCATGGATCATGATGCATTAATTATGGACTTGGTCAAATACTGCATTGGGTTAGGTTTTCTTCAAGGAGTCTACACAGTGAGGGAAGCTAGAGATAGAGTATATGCATTGGTTGGAAAGCTAAAGGAGTCTGGTTTGTTGTCTAACAGCTATTCAAGTGATCATTTCACCATGCAAGATGTTGTTCACAGGGCGGCTTTGTCAATAGCATTCGAGGAGGAGAAGCATGCATTTACAATGACAAAAGGAAAAGTAGATGAATGGCCTGATGAGGGTAAACTTAAAAGGTACGCTGCTATTTCCTTACATTATTGTGATGTCATTGAGGGGTTTCCTGGAAGTATAAAATGCCCCAGACTTACAGTATTCCATGTTAACAATAATGATCCACATCTAAAAGTACCAAACAACTTTTTCAAAGGAATGAAAGAACTCAAAGTGTTGATATTGTCTGGCTTTCATCTATCACCCTTACCTTCGTCAATTACATGCTTATCAAAACTCAGAATGCTTTCTTTGGAGCATTGTATGCTAGGTGAGAAAATATCCATCGTAGGTGAGTTGATAAAGTTAAGAGTTCTAAGTCTTTCAGGATCCGATATTGAAAAATTGCCTGTTGAGCTTAAGCGGTTAACAAAGCTCCAAATTTTTGATATTAGTGATTGCTTCAAACTTCAAAAAATTCCATCCAATGTAATAAGCAGTTTGATTAGTTTGGAAGAGTTGTATATGAGAAACACTTTGATTCAATGGAAGGATGAAGAACATACAAACCAAAGTGAAAATGCTAGTCTTTTTGAGTTGAGCCATTTGAATCGGTTGACAACTCTAGACATACAAATCCCAAATCTTTCTCAATTGCCAAAAAACTTGTTCTTCGACAATTTAAATAGTTACAAGATTGTAATTGGAGATTTGAAGGCATATTTAGAGACAAATTTCAAGATGGCAGAGAAGTATGAAGTATCGAGATTTTTGGCAATACAATTGAAAAATGGCTTTGACATTCATTCGCGAAAGGGTATCAAAATGCTATTCAAAAGAGTTGAAATTTTGTTGTTGGAAGATCTCAATGGTGTTGAAGATATTTTTTATACATTGAATTTGAAAGGATTTCCTTTTCTCAAACATTTGTCCGTTGTAAGTAATACTAACATTCAATCGCTTATCAACCCAAAGGACAGACAAAATCCTGAGAAGGTTTTCCCTAAATTGGAGTCTTTGTATCTCTATAATCTCAACAACATGGGAAAAATATGTTCTTGTAAACTTTCAACCCCCTCCTTCAGCAAATTGAAAGTCATCAAGATCAATATCTGTGGTAAATTGAAGAATGTTTTCTTAATTTCAGTGGTTAAACTTCTAACGGTTCTTGAAACAATTGAAGTTTCTGAGTGTAGCTCGATGAAGGAGATTGTGGAAACTCAAAGCAACACAGTTGAAAATGAGCTTCTAAACTTTCCTGAATTACGCTATTTGACGCTGCAATCTTTATATGAACTTATTGGGTTCTATCCCATTTCATCAACCGAAGGAGAAACTAGCAAAATACTATTCCATGAAAAGGTGTGTTTAAAATTGTCATGTGGATTTTTTATCTTTTACAATTCAAATTCTATTTCATATTTTATTTTTAAACAACTAGGAAAGGAGATTGTAAGTTGTTACACTTAAAAGAAAAAAGACATTCTTTTTTCTAGCAAGAATTAACTTGAGAAAGTCAGAATCAATTCTTGAATTTTTGGAGACTAATTCTGTATGTTGCTTTGCAGATTGTCTTTTCCAAATTAGAGAGAATGGAGTTGTCCTTGATGCAAATCGAGAAAATCTGGAGTGACCAACTTTCACTAAGTTCCTATTTTCAAAATTTGATACACTTGGATGTGAATGGTTGTTGGAATTTAGAATATTTATTACCATTTTCAATGGCCAAGAGTCTAGTGAATCTTCAAAGTCTTTTCATTAGTGAATGTGACAAGATGGTATGCATCTTTCCCCAAGGGAAAGGTTCCCTTGCTACAATGGAGGTACGTAGGTCGGTGATATTAGATTCTCTTTTTAGATCTTTGTATGCCTTCACTTTAACGTTGAACTATTATCCTTATTAATTTGAAATCTTTGTTTGTTGTGAGACCTGGGATATTGAAAACTTATTCAGAAACATACATAGGATATGCAGAATTTGGAAGAACCCTACATTTTCATGTTCAGATACTAATCAGCTTACTAAATGTGGACACTAGATAGTTAGGTCATACCACAAACCCCTTAACATAATGTGTCACGAATCACTCTTATGATTAAGATTTCAAATTGCAATCTGCAGTTGCAATGTTGCGATTTTGAGAAATATTGTGATTGATTTTGTTTGCGTTGTAATTCGTAAAAGTCATATTTGTACACATTTTTTGCAATTGCTGCAATGATAATAGAACAATATCTTAACCCAAACCACAATTTAAAACCAATATAATCAAGCTCTCTATTGATTTGGTTTCGTTTACGTTAGACATCATTTTTACTTCAACTAACTTATGACTATTGTGAATCAAAGCAGGGTAGCATCTTTCCAAATTTGAAGAATATCAAACTGAGGAGCATGAAGAGTTTGAGTGAGATATGGAATTCAAAAGTGTCTTCAGATTCTTTTGGCAAACTGGATACTCTAATAATTGAGGAGTGTGATAAATTAGACAAAATTTTTCCTTGTTATGTGGAGGGAATATTTCAGAGTCTATGCAACTTGAGGGTTACTAATTGCAAGTCATTGAAAGCGATATTTGAACTAGACAATGAAAAACGACATGTTGGGCACGAAACCAACTTGCAAGATGTTCATTTAGAAACACTCCCAAAGTTGAAGCAGATATGGAAATGGAACAATGACCAGGAAGGGATTCTTAATTTGTACAATCTGCAAAAGATTGGGATTCATGATTGTGACAGCCTAGAAAATATATTTCCAATTTCTGTAGCGAAGTGTTTTTCCAATCTTGAATACCTTGTGGTGCTGGGTTGCTCTCAATTGAGGAAAATTGTTGCCAAGGGAGAAGGTACCTTCACAAGCAGTCCTAATCCTCCCATCAATTTTGAGTTTCCTAAATTAACCACCATCAAATTAGTGAACCTATCAAAACTTGAGAGTTTCTATCCAGGATATTGTGTATTAAGATGCCCAGCATTGACTGACCTGTCTATTGAACGTTGTGACAAGTTGGAACCATTCAAAAAAGAAATTGCTGATGCGCAAAGCAAGTCAGTCCTCTTTCCTGAAGAGGTAGTAGTAAGCCTTTCAACTCTAAAGAATTCTTTCTAAATCATAGAAAAATTATTTTAGAAGAAGAGAAAAAAAAAAACCCAAAACTTTCAATGACATGAAACATATAATTCAAATATTTATTTTATGTAAATTTTCTCGTTTTTAACATTTATTTAATACTTACAGGTAATTAATAAGTTGAAGTCCATGCAAATTGAATCGTGGCATGCAAAGTCGTCAAGCAGCTACATGGGCGACGGGAACTATCGAATGGACAACTTAGAAGAGCTTCACCTATATAGATTATCAGATACCAGTATTCTATATTCTTTACTTCATAGGAATCCTAATCTGGAAAGCATATCATTGAATAATTGTTTCTTTAAAGAGATAGTGCCTCTCGAAAGTTCTCGTGAAAATGAAAATGTGGGGGTCGTTCCTGAGTTGAAAAGCTTGAAGTTAATAGATTTACCTCATCTTCAGAAGATAGGCTTTGAACGAGACATAGTTCTACAAAGGATAAAGTTCTTGATTTTAAAGACATGTCCTTGTTTGGTCACTATTATGCCTTCCTCAATATCTCTCACTCACTTGACAAATCTAGAAGTGACTAATTGTAATGGATTACAAAATTTAATGCCACCATCGACTGCGAAAAGCTTGATTCAGCTTAGCACATTGAAGGTAATTAAATGTGAATCTCTGAAGGAAATTGTATCAGAGCAAGGAAATGGAGAAGAACATGGAGGCAAAGTTGACATTGTTTTCAGACAATTAAAAATTCTAGAACTTGTATCACTGAAGAGCCTCGAATGTTTCTGCAGCTCCAAGAGTTATGCTTTTGAGTTTCCGTCAATGGAGAACTTAGTAGTGAGTGCATGCCCCAAAATGGAAACTTTCTCAGCAGAAGTCAAAAGCACACCAATTTTACGAAAAATATATGTGGTGCAGGAAAAAGAGAAGAAGAGATGGTATTGGGATGGTGATTTAAATCATACAATAAAAAAAATGTTCGTGGAAAAGGTACGCATATAAATTTACGAACTGATTTTTCATGTTCTGTTGTGTTCTTTTTCATATTCTGTTGTGAATTTTCATATTTTCTTTTCTCTTGTAATAACTGTTTAAAGAAAATAAATAAATTTCTTTAATAATCCTTTGTTTGGATTGGTGGTAAATAATATGAAGGAATTAAATAAAAACTTAAAGCATGCCACTTATGAGATGTTTAAAAAATAACATAGAATGTTATGAAATTTAAATAACTCCATGCCACTATAACCTTCCATTCTCGAATTTTCTTGGCGGGTAAGAGATGAAAAATTGAAAGTAGAATGAAACAATTTATAAAATTATGTTTTTGTCATTAGTTTTAAGATTTAGTGTGTTTGAAATTGAAGTAATATCAATAACAGCAAAGTTATAATTTATATTGTTTCATTTCCTTTCATTGAAGGCTTCATAAATCTCCACTCCTTGACCAAAAAGATAAAATTACTGAAATCATTCATATAAATGCACCATTGTGTTTGCGTCAAGGGACGATTGACATAAACCATTGTCACCAAAATGCACTATGGGCATATATACCTTAACCTCACAACCACCCTGAGATTACTATTCAATCCCTGTCTACGCCCAACGTAATATATAACATCGAAGTTCATCTTCACCATTCGTATTTGTAGCTTGATGCACCCGAGTAGTGGTGGACTCAGAAAATTATATTTGTGTGTGCATATTTAGTGGTGGGTGCAACGCCGAGTTTTTTTTAATAAAAATTTTAAATGTATTAAAAAATAAAAAAATTTAAACAAAAAAAAACTTCAACTTAATATAAAAAAAATAGTAATCAAGAGTCAAATAAGTTATTACAATAAAACAATTATATTCAAAGTAAGTTTAATTTTTTAAGCCTAGAAAAGCTTAAGTTATTATTTAATAATATATTATTATTTTATTTAAAAAAAAATTGATTTATATATATATATATATTACTAAATAAACTGTAAATCCATGTGAGAGATACACGTGTTTTGCAATAAGGTTTTCCGGTTCAGCAACTCTTAGGATATGAATGTTGGCCGCCACCAAGAACGGGTCTTTTAAAATTGACGTCTTTGTCAGGCTCTTCGAGATCATTATACACATCGTAATCGTATATCCTCTCAAAGCTCTTACGTTCACCTTGTTCATTGCCACGTAAATGTTCCAGTTCCTCTTCAATCCTTCTAGTGTTGCTGAAGGCAAACAAAACTGTGTCTGCACTATAAATGATCACTTTCATCCACCGAAAAAAAAAATTAATGTCTGCAATTGCAAACATTAACACTTACATAGGTCTGCCATTGCACCTGAGCTGACTCGTTTGGATTGGGCTTTTCCATTATTTATTTCTTTATTTAGGGAATTTTATTAATTGCTAATTATTTCCTTTTTGTTATTTTAGATTATGTTTGAGTGTGCGTTAATTGTGCGTTTTTCTTTTGATTGCGCATAATTATAGTTATTTACTTTTTTTGTTATTTTATTTTTGCCTATTTAAGGCTTGGAGAACCCTATTGTTAGGAGGTTGTTTTTGGTTAATTGAAATTAAGAAAAGAGAAATAGTGTTTTCTCGCAATCTTTGTTTAGTTCTTCTTTCTATTTAGTCAATTGGTTACTGTTTTGGCATTATTTGGTATCAGAGCCTAGTTGTCACTTAAATGGCTGAACAGAACAATGGCGGTCGAGGTCGAGGTCGTGGACTACGGGGTCGAGGCGACAGCGGTGGTAGAGTGCATGGTAACACCCTTTATAGCGGCGGCGAACAACCACACATCGACGCGCGAGACGCCACAATGGTAGCAATGACTATTACAATGGCAGAACATGGTAGACGAATTCATGAGCTCGAACAATTGTTTGCCCAAACACAGTTGGCCAAGTCAGATGAAGGATACGAATATGAAAGATCATCTCATGAGGAGGAAATGAGATTCTAAAACTGGAACCAAGAGAGACGAGGACGAAGTCAACCTGGAAATCAATCCTTTTTTGCTAATATTGAGGTGAAGATTGAGATCCAGAATTCGAGGGCACCACTCATCCAGATGAGTTTATCGACGGGTCGCACACCGTCGAAAAGGTCTTTGACATCATAGACTTGACAGAAGACCAGAAGGTCCCGATCTATGATGAATATGATGAAGAGCAAGATGATGAGAATCCTGTTATGGATGCTCCAATTTATGACGAGTTCTTTATCTATGATAAGTATGATTGGGAGCAAGACGACGAGAATCTAGAGGTGGATGAAATCTCTTGTAGTGATTCCGATGGAAAGTCAGTTATTAGAAATTCTAATATCTCTGACAAAGATGAAGTTCTACCCAAAGATATCATGCATAATGATCCTTCATCCAAGAAGTCTTTAGTTTGCAAGCAGTATTATGAATTTGGGAACAACGAGCATAACAACCTTATGCTCCATGGAGATAAAGATTTAGCTTTATTGGAGATCGTCAAGGGCAAGGGACTTACTGGTACATCAGACAAAGTTTTCCTATGACGGATCACAGATGCGATCATTGATCCAAACTACAAATGAATATACCAAGCATATCAAAGAATTGCATTTCCAAGTCCTAATCTTAATTAGAAAATTGGGTGATATTGTACCAGAAAAGTTACCACCTGGGTTACCACCTGAAGAAATAATATCAATGAAGACGAAGTAGATTCGAGGGCAAATCTTTTTTAAGTGGAAGAGAATGATGCACCCGAGCTGACTCGCTTGGATTGAGCTTTTCCATTATTTATTTCTTTATTTATGGAATTTTAATAATTGCTAGTTATTTCCTTTTTGTTATTTTAGATTATGTTTGAGTGTGCGTTGATTGTGCATTATCTCTTTTAATTGCGCATAATTATAGTTATTTACTTTTTTGTTATTTTATTTTTGCCTATTTAAGGCTTGGAGAACCCTATTGTTAGGAGGTTGTTTTTGGTTAATTGAAATTAAGAAAAGAGAAATATTATTTTCTCGCAATCCTTATTTCGTTCTTCTTTCTGTTTAGCCAATTGGTTACTATTTTGGCATTATTATCCGATTGTTGATAATTATCCCATTTATGATGATTATCAATCTTATGATGAAAATTCAGTTTATGATAATAATCCAGTCTATAATAAATCTGATGGAGAATCAGATTACGAAGATCTCATTGAGGAAGATTCATCATTTGAGTTTTTGTCTAAATAAATTGAGATTAGTGAAGATAAACAAGATTCGAGGACGAATCTTTTTCTAGCGGGGGAGAATGATGCACTTATAGTTGGCCCATTGTACATGGTCCAACCATTAATTCAAGAAACTCGTAGTCAACTAAAATTGTGGCCTAATAAGTATGGCCCAATTGTTGAAAGAGGCAATGATTTGAAATATATCAAATTACAATCAAATCCAAGTCCCAGTAAAGCAGTAGATGTGATACAATCAAATCCAAGTCCCAGTAAAGCAGTAGATGTGATTGTGATTTATTTCGAAAGAAAAGGAAAGCAACATATTTGGTGTGATTTGAGATTAAAGATTTGGGATGTATTTTGAATTATTTATTTGTAATTTTTATTTATTTTTAGATGTTAGTTACTCTTATATTTATTTTAGAAAGTTGTATTATTTTTAGAATTTTAGATTTAGAATTTTGAATCAATTTGTAATTAGTCTATAAAAGGGTACTTATGACCCTTATTCTAGGAGTTGAATTTTGTTATTTTGATAATTATAATTGGGAAACAGAGGATTACTCTTTTGTGAAATATCAACTTTTTGTTTAGCCACTTTTCTATGCGCTTTCGGCATCACAGCTGGCTTCAAACATAAGAGTAAATTGAAGCAAGGAAAAAACTAATAAATCATATCCTACTAAAGATAATTAGGCCATTAACTAGAAAATAGATTTGCAATTTGTCTGATTTTGATTAACACTAGACCATTTTATTACTTGCTTTAGTTTTTCTTTCCAATATAAAGATGCTAATAGGAAAATCATTGTAACAGTGTTTATAGGCAGAGCAGGCATTAGAATATGGAACGTGCTATATCTGATGATAAACTCATTTACGATATTTACAGAAGTATTTTCAAGGCACGGAGGAGATGAGTCATTCCGAATATCTTGAGCTACAACAAGCCTGGCGTAATGGAGTTGATCTGCAAAAGAATTGGTTTTACAGTTTGAAAACTTTGAAACTGGTCAAATGTGAACTTCAACGCTATGCAATTCCATCTCACCTTCTTCCTTATCTAAATAGCGTAAATGAGTTGGAAGTACGGGATTGTAAGAAAGTAGAGGTAATTTTTGAAATGAATGACACAGAAAGAGCATCCCAATTGAAGATATTGACTTTAAAAGGGCTCTTGGAGCTGACGCATATATGGGAAAAGAATTGTCCAGGAATTTTCAGCTTTCAAAATCTGCAACAAGTTTGTGTTAGTGGTTGTGCAAGTCTTAAAACCCTGTTTCCAGTGGCCCTGGCCAAAAATCTTAAGAAGCTCGAGAATCTTCAAATAGACACTTGTAATGAGTTGCAAGAAATTGTTGTGGAGGAAGAAGCAGCAGCAGCACGGACAACAGAAAAGTTTGTGTTCCCGCGTTTAACCGATCTGCAGATTTATCATTCGACTCAGCTCTCTTATTTTTACCCTGGAACATTCACTCTGGAATGCCCGGCTTTAAATAGTTTATATATGGCGAATTGCAAGTTGGAGCTATTTCAAAGTGCACATCCCGAGGGTGAGGGTGAAGGTAGCAGAAACAGAGACACCGGTTTCCTGAATCCAAGGGTAAGTAGTTTAAAAGAAATGAGTGTCAAAATAGTTTAAAACCTCTTTACGTGAGATGATTTGAGTAGATTATAAACAAATTAACAGTTATTATATAGGGAAAACTTGTTCTCATGTTGCATGAGAATTCAACTCTCATGTTAGTGACCCTTCGATTTGCGTGCAAAATTTTTCTTTTCTTTTTCTTTTTTTAATA